TAACGCTGGATTATCACCACTTTTGAGAGTGAAAAGTGCCGGTAATGCCCAGCAGCCTGGTCTTTTGTTCGAAGTACAGTCTTTTGTTACAGGGCCCTGTTTCCTTTGACCGAGTTTGGAGACCCCGGCCACAGATATAAACCATACGGCTCCGATTTCGGAGTCCCCGGCTGGTAGTGGTTAAAGCATGAGCCCGATCATACATAAAATTTTGCAAGAAGAAAGCAAGACTTCTCGCCATCATTGAAAAGCACATACCTTGGTCCAGTGAAAAGCACCTACCTTGGACCTGTGTAGGCTTTTTCGTCTCTTCGGCGGTGGCTGTAATGGGTGGGGGAAGGGTCTTTGGCACTGTGACTTCTGCCTCCTTCTTGATGATGGGCTCTTGTGGGACAGGTGCCGCGACGCTCGGCAGTGTACCAAGGTTGCTGCCCCTGCTGGGCTTGCCAGCACTCGGTATGTCCTGCATGCTGAACTCCTCTGTGCTGGACTGCGATGAAAAGCGCTGCGGGTCTGGGGCCCTCCCTTGATAGGACTTGGACAGGAGCTCCCGTCTCTGCTGGGCGAGCCCCTGGGAAGACTGCTGGGAGCGAGGCAGCCGTTGTGCTATTTGAGGCTGGGGCGATTGGTTCAATTGGCCAAATCCCTTGTGGTCAAAATCCAAAAATAAGAAGACCATCACTTACAGTCAAACCTACTGAAAACCACACTCACATCACTTATGAAATTACTCGTAATCCATACATTTCTTTGCTTGGTTAGCGGATGGTGCAAAAAATGGTGCTTTTTGAAAGCTCAGTTGCCAGCCAACAGTTATGCCAGTTGGAGCCGATGGACTCGAGCATGACTGTATGAACACAAGTGGCCTGTTTGTGATGACAAAGCAATAACTAGAAACATGTTCAAGGTGGCTTGCAAAATTGCTGAAGGGGACAAATACATGGTAAAAGGCATCATTGCTGATGAACATCATTATCGGTCAATATTCAGCAAGTTTCTCACTGCTTGGTGCTCTCCTTTTTTTACAGGCCAGAAGGAAATATCTGTTTTGGTTTGCTGCACCCACCAACAAATTGAGAGATGAATACTTATTTTGGAGATGACAAAAAATGTCTGCTTATTTTCTGCTATTGTTAACTGGTGATGGACCAACTCCAACCTTTGGTTTTCATTTGGTTTGAACAATGACATCACGCAGGCATAGCCAAAGAATCAAAGATGTGCAACCAATAACCATGACCAAATCAGAAACATGTTTCTGGTCACAGTCATGAAAACAGGGGCCTGGTTACCTTGATTTGACTGAACAGCACTCTCTGCAATTCCTGCACATGAGACAACCAAGTGTACGGCCGTGCTGAAATCACCGGCAACGGCTCGCAATAACACACAAGTCTATGGGAAGTGGCTGAAGCTGGCAGCCAGCGGCTTCCATGGGCACATGTGACATTCACAGCTGCAGCCGTGTTTTCTGGACGCTGGATTAAATACAGCATTCACCTGGACAGATATCCCTGATGGTGCGGCCTGGGCAACCTCTGCCTTCTTGCCGGACTCCTTCCCATTGGACCCCTGCCGGCTGACCTTCTCGCTGACGCTGCCCAGGATGGCAGTGACGGCCCGGCGGGCAGGGCCAGGCGTGGCCAATGGGGCGCTCCGGCGACCTGACAGAGGCGATGGGGTCTTCTTGGTGCTGATGCCTCTGGCCGCCCGGAACTGTGGGTCTTTGCTCTCAACAGTCCTAAAGAAAACAAAGAAACAGCTCATTTTATAAAATCAGTGACTGCATCCCACGAAATAAGCCTTAGCCCAGGAAGTAGAATATAGACGTTGATGTATTCAATACTTCTGTAGTTAAATATGCATCAAACAGAGAATCTGCTCAACAATTAAACCAAATTTACAGTTTCTTACGTTGGCATGGCAACAAAATCCTCCTGGACCTCTGTGGCTGCACTGAGCTCTGGAAGAGGTTCTGCAGATGTTCCTTTTTCCTTTTGAGCACGCTCCAGAGTAGAAACCTGCAAAGAAACACAAATTTAACTTCCTGAACACACTATGCCAGGAGTCACCATGGCAGAATGAACTGCGTGTTCAAGAAAGAATTGATTTGAAGTATGGCAGCACAACAGGAGGGTGCTATTCGGTTTGGATGAAATGGTGTGAGCTTGCTCAAAATTTACCCAATTCAGATAGCGCCTTCTGTTGTGTCCGTCATACTTCAAATAAGCTGAGGCAAAGTGCTGTGATTCTATTCACTTGTTGCCACAAACCTCTCATCTGAACAATTGCTAACTTGGGGAAGGCAAACAGAAACTGGGGGTGACACTAAACACATGCTAGTGATGAGTACTGCCATGCTCACAGTGGAGACATGAGTATGCTACAGATTAATAGTGGAATTGCACGAGCAAACACTGCACTAGACAAGATACCCATGTCTGCACTGCCACCCTACATTATGTACACGTATGGGTACTTGATACTTGCGCAGCTGTATGCAGAAAGAAATGCCGCATGAGGTTGAACGTAGCATGACGTTTGATGCTATTTTGGTTAAGCCGTTTTGGGCTACTGGTATGAGGGAATTTATGTATAATTTGACAAAATGTTAAGAAAACTTTCCCATACCGTTTAACCAGTTAACTGTTTCGCCAGCACTTAACTGCTGCCAACCTCAGTGTTTTTATACATGTATATGCATAATTATATAGTTCAACAATGCACATAGTCTAACCTATGTAAAAATGTACATGTTGATTGATGTTGGGGGATTTAAACCAAGCAATGTTTATTCATTTTAATCCATTTTTTCCTCAAAATATACATGGATACCAAAAGGGAAAACCAGTATGTCACAGGTATTGTTTACAATAAAAATGAACACCAGCTTGTGTCAACCAAACGTCAAACCTCTAAAAGGGACGGTTCCGTTTAAACATTTGGGAAAATCTGTAAATGGACTTGGAACTTTCTTTCTTTGAACGTTTAAATATGTAACCATCCCACCCTTAGCTGCTGGGCATTGGTTTTATGAATCGGCAAGTGGCCATAATTTATGCTTTGAACAAAGTGACATAACAAACTGTGGATCAGAAGTGAAAGACAGTTTCGTACATGTGTGTAAACACACACAAGTTCTTTAGAAGCAAAACGGTTACTACTCAGAAGTTGTCACAACTTTTTGTATGACTCTCCATGCAACTGCTTGCTAAAAGAACTATCTCTATTGCTTAAGCAAGTATGGAGACCCTCCAGCAGTACTGCATTCAATGAAAGTCAGGGATGACTGCCCAATATCAAGAGTTTGCAGTGTTCCCCGCCGCCTCCCACACATCCACCCACCAACATACCCACCCAACCACCGTCATATTTTGGAAGGCATACCTGCTTCATTAGGAGAGCATTTTGGTCCTGTAGGTCACTTGTCCGCTGCAGCTCAGCATCAAAATTGAGGAGCCCAGGAAGAGGTGGATTGGCAGAAGTCAAGAAATAGTATTTAAAAAAACAAATATCTACAAATAAAGGGGCTTTCTCTTTGAAATCATTTCTCAATAAAATCTTCCCTTTTTGTGAAGGACAACTACATGTACATGTACTTTGTTTTTATATAAAAGACACGGGGTAGACAACAGCACATAAATACATCATTGGGTCTTTAAAACTCTAACCCCCTAGGGTGTATGTAAAATCATATTAATATTAGAGGATTTGGGACTGCTAGGGATAGCTATTAACAAAAGAATGACAAACTAGAATGAAATATAAAGCATGTAGGAATTCAGGTCAAAGATGGAGATTTTAAGTGTTTAGTGGGAGATAATTTGCCCATGCCTATTTCTGGTACTCTTTTTTGCGTATTTATTTCTTCTTTTCTCATCTATTTTTTCAGCAGGCTTGTACATGGGCCCTCCTTCCCACGTATTGGGGGGGGCAAGAGGAGGGAACTTACGAGGGGAAGGGCAAAGCACTCCTACGGCTAAGAACTAATAACTAAGTAGAGGGGGGGATTGGTCAATTGTGATGTTTTTCGTATAAATCTGAGTATCATGCCCTGTTGCCTTTGTTTGTAATTTGTCCGCTTTGTTTTTCAATTTTTCTCGGGGGGGAGGGGCAATCGCATCCCATTGTCCCCCCCTCATGAGGTCCATAGGGCAATGCTAATAAAACATGCAGGTGCGACTGGGCTATGTTTTAAGTAGCACTATACATGTATCTGTGTAAGTAACCTTCGGTTTTCATCGGAGAATGATCACATTAAGGATATGCATTGACTGGAAGATGATACTGAAGAAGTTGTGGAGAGATATCGTCAGTGTCTCCTGCCACTGCTTACTGAAGTAGAGTTCAAAGGTTGGACTCTGCTCCGGGTTCTTCAGGAAGGGTAGTGCTGTGGGAACACAAGACAGTACAGTACCAAGGTACATGTACATGTAGTGTGGATCAAATATGCAGGGGTATATGTACAGTGTATGATCTGACTGGTGATTTGTTCTGCAGATTCATGGAGGTGGGCAATGGGAACCAGTTAACTTAACCCGTTTCAGTGTCTTTACCGGGGTACAGGTAAAAGAATGAAATAGACATATTAGATACCTGACCCACATTCACAGCCATGATTTCTTGCAAAGATGTGATTTATTCAAAGAGGTTTCTTACTCTGAATAAGCACGATACGTGAACTAACTTCAAACATGAACACTCATTCAACATTCATTAAAGGATACGCTTGAATACTGAATTCACAAAGATCTGGATGATTTTCAAGAAAAGAAAGATGACACTGAGCCACAATTCTTTTTAAATGGGACAACATTTCCACGCAACCTTAATAATGACATATGTGCAAAGAATGTATTGATTTTGTACATATATAGGTAAGGAGTTGATTATGGACACACAAGCCAAGCTCCTTGTAACACATGTAAAAATGCAGTGTAAGTAGTAAATGGGGAAAAGTACAGGTATGGCCCAATTTAAGCAAAATGATCGGTACATACCAAACCATTCTTTCCATTCTGGCTGGTTCTGAATGTCACTACCCATTTTCTCGAAGAACTCAATGACTTTGTCAGAGCGATTGTTCTGACTGGCATTAACAATGTACAACCTGCCGCCAATAAAAGACAACTAAACAACTTCAAAGCTACAGTAACATTTTTTAATCCGCATTACAGTGACATGATGTTTGGAAAGGTACATCCATGCGCATCTAGGCATTTACAATTGCTTTGAAAGAATGCGCCCATACTTGAAAACTGTCTAAATTTAGTTAGTGTTTAAGAGCCGTAAAGCTGTGATATGTGTGTGATATGCTGTTTTCTCTGTAGTTTACTGGTCAAGTTGCTTTTTACTTTTTACTGTCCTAAATTAACTTTGGTACAGCACATAGAACAAAAACTTAACTTACTTCTACATCTAAAGAAACATGTGAGTTTAATTCAAGGCACTTTTGGAATTCATATCAAATAGTACAATGCCAATTACTGTTTTCCATCCATGGTCAAATTAAACTTACAGAATTCTAAACCTTCTTCAACAATTACATTAAAAACAAACAGCAAAGTCAATACAGCAAATACAAAAATCAAAACTGCACACAGGTGCAAAAAGTACATGTATGAGCTTATTGAGGATTTTCTCAAAACTCATTTTTGAGCAAATCAACAGCAAATTTTTTATGTTTTTCACTTTGCTGAACTTTCAACTAAGGGGTCCTACTGGTAAATCCTCCAATTTTAAAATTAATGCAAATACCCTGCCTGGAGGACTGGAATGAATCAGCACCCACCTTAGAATGCTGACTTCCAGCTTGCGGACGTTACTCATCTGATGATATTCCAGGTGAGAGAATATGCGTCTATCCAAGTGTTCCATATAGCTTCGGAGTGCGGCAAGGTCGTAGTTCCATATTGAGTTCAGGAGATGGTCTAATACCTTGTCCACCTGCAAGAATAAACAGTTACACATGCATTTATATTATGTCATATATAATTTATGTAATTACATGCATGTTTGTAATGCATGCAATGCGTAAGAAAAAACAACAGACAAATAAAAAGCAACAACCAATAAAACAGACACAACAAATACAGCCATAAAAGTGACAAAAGCACTTTATCTGTAGACTGTTATAGAGATCCCATATCGCACTTATTATCAAGACCAGCGTTGTTAAAAAAATGCATTGCCTTGCATGGAAAGCGCAAGTAGTCCACGGAGTCGAGGTTGCGGTTGGCAAACAAACCAATGCACATGCACTGTGTGATGCATGTAATGTGTGCAATGTGTTTGGATCATTTTTGTCAGGAGAATGAAAGGGTGGTGGGTAAAAGCTCTGATTTGTTTCAAGAAATAGCCTCGTCAGTCGTACTGTCAGATGGGCTTGAAACCATAGGTCATCAGATTTAAAAGAGATATATACTTCAGTTCTGATTTTTTTTTTTGGAAGATTACATTGAGAAGGTGGAATTTTTTAAGCACAGAAATGTACTTGTACCTCATTTTGAAATAACAAGGCTGCGTGCAAAAATCCACAGCGTTTGTACGGACCCAAAAATCGGCAGAAGAAAGTCACACGTCACATACATGTACTGTACATGTAGAGTAGTGAATCGCCTTTTTTAACATTTGGACGTGGTTGGGTGATCTACCACCACGTCCAAATTTAAAGAAAGTGATTCATAGAGTCCAACTAAATGAAAATAACTCTGTAGTTAATAATAAACTATGTAGTATACTTGGTTCCATTATTATCGCGGTAACTCTTATTTTTGTCGCATCAGAAATTTTGAATTTTACATCACCAGTGAGTTCCCTATCGGCTGTATTCATCCAGGTAATCAAGAACTTACAGGTATGGAACAAGGATAAGTTTGATTAAAACAAAGTGAAAAAGTTGAAGTAAGTTTTGATAACACATGTACTTCATAAAAGAAGTAATTTTCCATAATCTGTAAATTTTCCTTTGCCGTGTCTGTCATTACCTACTGTCTATCTCTTTAACACTAACGCCGCCCTTGTACGTCACTTCCAAAATTGCCAAAGGTGTCTAAACTAAGGAGTCAAACTAAGGGCTCCTGCTCTGAACGATGTTTTGCGTGCATAAAGCATGCCCCCAATCTCCATTTCAATACACTTGTATCAACCATACTTTTATCTTCCGGGCAATTAACAGTGTATCATTATGTCAGCATTATTTTCTCAATTTTTTGCTTTTCTTATGCAACTTGGAGAATTTTACAAGGGGTATTTATAATTTCTAACATTGATTTGGAATAAAATGATTCAGATCTAATGAGATGGTTATAACTCTCAGGGAAGAAAGACTCAGAAAGCAGACATTTCCCACAATTGTTTCAGACATTGATAAAACAATGACTCTATCAATAACATGAAATTTGTGATACCCGCATATTTTTTATTCCTTCAGCAAAACACCAATTCAAATAATAAGACGAATGTCAAAGTTGTTGCACCATTTTAAGACTGGGGTAAAATAGTTCTGGTGACAAAACTGAAGTCATTCCTTGCCAGATTTATATGTATGAGTGTACACTGTAAGGTGAAGCAGCACAATATTTCTCATCTTGTTCTCTTGGCGAATGGCATCTTAAGGAAAAGACTGGAAAAAAATGGAGTCAATTACAGGTCAAATGGAACATCATGACATATTTCATTTCCTCTGAAAACAAAATCATTCTATCTTTATGTAATCATAAATAAAGTGCTTTAGACACAATCCTAGAAACCATTTCTCGATAATAAAGAACCAACTCCACTAGCATACAGTGTGCACACAGATTTTCTGAGCCATCATAGAGGAAAATAAATTGAACCACAAACAAAATATTATGAATCAAGTTAAAAAGTAAGAGTTGAACAACAGCAAGGATAGGATAATGCAGGAAGGTGAGTGAGCAATCTTTATTTCGATCAGGAAATGAGTGAACTACAGTGATAGACAGGATAGAGTAACCCATCCTACGTAGAACTGTGGGGTGCATACCCCCCAGAACTGTGGGGTCCGACGTCCGCTTCTCTCCCACGAGCATGACGAGGGAGCGTGGGGTGGGGACGTCGGACCTCTTGGTTCACGGGGTAACGCGTAAGCCATATACATCCGACATGCTAACTTGGGATGCTTGGTTGGCGACTAATATAATAGTAATACCTTGAGCTTCTTATCTTTATCGACTTTCAGTTCAGCATCGAAAGTTTTCAGGGTGTTGGTGAAGCCACGAAACAACAGATAATCTCGAACCAACTCGTCTGTTCTCTCCACCGCATGTGCCATTGTCATCGCTTTACAGCAGGGACGTCAGGAAGTACATGGTTTTAGTGAAAAATTATAAAGCAAGGAACAGAATCTTACAGATGTCACGTCGAGTGCAGTGCATGTGATGCATGCACTAGAATGGGCCGGATGCTGATGCTAGGAAATAGGGCGCCCTCTAGGGGTGCTTTTCTCGCCTCCTCCCCTGCTAATCACGGCCTTCCTCCGTACCGCACGTCCCATGTTTGCTACTGTTCCTGCACTGTAAGAAAAGTGGCAGGCCATGATTTCGTGATTTTACTGTCACCTGAGTAACGTTAACCCCTGACAGTTGAAATTATAAAAATGGACCCAGGAAAAGAAATTGCTAAAAAAGAAATGGAAAGGGCTGGAAATCATCAGTTACTGTACGAAAATACCTCGAAATCGACCCCTTGTTCCGCTAGCGCTATCGCTGGTTATCAGCTTGTTGCTGAGTTCTTTGCCACCCTGAAAAAGTGCTTCGCGGGGGGGGGAGGGGTGGAGCACAGAATTTTTTCCTGGTTCGGATGCCAATTGTGTGTGCAGGACACCCTCAAAATACACTGCAAGTATCTGAGATTTTCTTGAAAATATTTTTGTATAGAGCTCTAGGATTGATATTTACTTGTATCTTGGCTGCGGACTCTTTCCGTTTATGTAGGACCTATCTCGGGTCAACAAATCGCGGGTCGGCGTGATTTCAATAAAGTCATGGCGTACCATGTCACGCGCTACCTGGCCGATGATGTACGTGGCTCACGCTATTGAGAGCGCGCAGGTGAGAGGTCCAACTCATACATGATTTAAGAAGGAATGAGACTTTATAACTGCAGCCCTTCTATAAGTTCATTTTTTTTTATCCATTCCAGTCTGCGCACGTTTAACACTGCGTTTCACTCCCAAAGGTTGTTCTCTGAAAGAAAGTTTCTACGCCCTTTTAAATCCGAGTGCACTCCCCGGGGCCTGCACCCCTTTGACAGATGAAGACCAGAGCTCGTTATGCCGTTGTAAAAAAACTGCACAGATTGGGTGAAAGTGAAACTACCGAATTCTAAGTAGCTTGAAATAAAGGCGCATCAGAGTTGAAAAAAAACGATGAACTTTTGGCGCGCAGATCTAAGATACACATGGCCAAATTTCAGCGACACTTTTCACTGAGCATTTTGAAGTTATAGTCATATCTTTCAGTCTGAACATGGTCTGAATAATCAATTACGATTCTCATCTTTCTGCACCGTGCGGATGGCATGACACCGTGACGTACACAGCCCCTTTCGCGGTCAAAAGGCGCCGCGGAGAAATACCCCTGTGGCTTGCCTTGTGCTTTTAGTGACTAATCAAACTTGAACCGGAGGCCAGAAAACGAAATGCTCTTAATTTTAAAACAAAAAACCTGAAACTGCCCTGAGACGTAAAAACCCATGCGAGGGGAATTAAAAACACACCGTAATAAATTTTCAGGCGCAAACCCAAACGAATAGACATGTAATAAGTGTGCAGATATGTAACTTCCTCATGGATGGATTTCGTCTCAATCAATGTCACTGGTAAAGAAACTCGGACTGATTTCCGCGCGTATTTTCCATCGGCGTAAAAAGGACTGAGCCTTCAAAGTTGACTTCGGGCCGAACGATAGCGCGAGCTCCAAAGCACATATGGCACACCATACCTAAGTAGCAGTACATGAAAATGTGTAGAATAATTGAGAGGGCTACGCGTGCGGCAGGTACGTTGTGCTCGTTGATGCGCCAAATCGGGGCCGTTTTCCAATACTCAACTTCGGTCCGTCGAAGGCTTCAACTATTTTTTTACTAGCTGACTTTGAAGCTGTAAGCGCAGTAATAAGTATAATAGTACCACAGAACATCGAATAAGATGCAAGAGAGCCAGAAAAATACAGTAATCCAATTTAATTTCAACGCTTTAGGCCCACAATCGGGGATTGGCTTTGGGAACGAAGCCTGAACGGAGCCAACTCGAGTATTGGAAACGAAAAGGGTCCTTGTTGCATTGTCCCTGTTTGGGAAACGGCATCTGGTACCCTAAAACATTGTACGGCATATCCTGATCCATACTATTGAGTGTACTGTTGATATTGGTTATATCACCTGGCTGCGCTGTGTGTGCACGCGAAGGGGCAGGTTGTAATACCTGACTACTAGCTACGTAAGAATATCAAGGTCAAGCCTGGGCCGAATGTACTTCACTGAGCAACAAAATCCGTAAATTTTGCCCAAGAGGAGAATCAAAATGGTGCTGGGAGCTGCTTGGAGGAGCTCTTTGATCTTAAATTTTAACCAGCAAATTCTGATTCAGGGATTTTCGAGCCGGTTCTGCGGTCGATTTCCCAGCGTGTGTAAACTTGCCCGCAGTGACTTGCATGTGAGTACAAATTATGTGCGGTACACGTAGTATCCATGTACATATATTTAAGGCCTAATTAAGTAACGTGCTTTCATACTTTTCAATAACATAATTATCAAATGCTGAAGCTGGTTCGTTCGTTTTTGTCATGAGTCAAGTATTTAGCAGAAGACTGAGAAGTGTTTTTGACTATTTTATTTGCAATTCTTTTGATTGAAGGTTAGACACACAGCGTCATCAGCACTGACCTGTTCCAGTAGACTAAGACTGGGGCTTCTCACACAGTTGAGCCACTTTGTTAAAACGTCACAGCTGGCTAGACTACATGTACGTACCCGCCCATTAAAGGCAAGTTTAGATATTGAACTTGATAAAGCCAATCCAAACGAAGCAAAGTGGTTTACAAATTGTAAAGTTTGAATTCATTTGACCATGTTGAAGAACACAATACACGAAGTGAAGTATATAATGTATATGTACATGTATTACTGTAAGGCATGTAAGGAAGAGCTTGAGAACTTTGGCCATTTGTTGTTTCAAAACTATAGTTTTGTGTATAATTTTCAGGAAGACAATTACATTTTGATTTTTGTCCAGTTGTATTGTAAGGATTCTTTTGCTTTATTGACAGCAGAAAGTTCAAAAATTTGGTTGAGGGAGGAAATTGGAAAGCATCCTTTTTGAATTTGTGGCTGACCACATTTTAGGGTTATCAAAATTGGATATTGGGCCTGGGTTTAATTTAAGAAACATTGGAGATCTGTTGCTCTAGAAAATGTCGAGTTCCAACATAGCCATTGGTAAAGCAAGTACATGTACATTGTAGGAAATAAAAACAACGAAAAAGTACAGAAATTGAACGGAAGCTGCCTCACAAAACCAATCTTTCCATACATCTGTTCAGGTCCAAAGAGGACTTCAGCATGTTAGTCGACGCTTTCAGAGCAGTGGGATAGCAGACGCTGGGGCTGCTCAACAGGCCCAAACCATTCCAGCACACGCCCAGAAGATTGTTGGCTGGTGGTTGATGGGATGCTGTGGCATGGTGGTTGGTGCAGTGGTGCTTGGAGGAGTGACTAGGTAAAGGAATGGGTTACGGATGTGATGTACATATTTTAAGATTCAAATGGAAAAAGTACATGTACATATTTTTGAAGTGTTTAAGTGGTCCCTCTATTAACCCTCCTTCTGTTTTAACCGTCAAAAACAGTCAAAATGCCTTTCAATTGGTTTCCCCCAGTACACAGACACGTATGGGAAATTTGACCGATTTTGACTGATATGACAACTGTGTCAAGAATGCATTTTAGCATAGGAGGGTTAAAAGCTTGGCCGTGATTAACCATTATTGACAAAGGACCAGAGGCACCTTATAATGTTATGTGTGCTTGATCCCATCTGGGCAAGTTAAATTCATTCATTACGTCATGACAGTGTGTCATGTCTGCTGCATTTTAGGGCTTTCAATATCCTGCCCATGTGAATATCCTGACTTATAAGTCTTGTATGTAATGTGTGTCCAAGATTTTAAATAGTGTTTGAAAAGCATTACCTACATTTACCAAATTCAATGCTGGGGCTTAATTTGCTCATGCATGGACTGCTTGTACATGTAGAACCTACCCATTCATGTAATGATATAGGTGTAGTAGGAAACCTCTGTGCTACATGTACTTTAGTAATTCAAGGGCATAACTTTCCTGGTATTGTTCACATCAGAAGCATAAGGCACATTGTACCTGAGTAGTTTTCTAGTGGGGGGTTTAACTGGGAAAATGTGATGCAGAATCAATTTGACAGAAATTAGCAGACATTTTTAACAACTAGCTGTGTTCAAACTGGGATGATCTGCAGGTTAACAGAATCGGGCTTGTCAATGACTGACTGGCACCTGATCAAAGGAATGAAACCTCCCCGGACCCAAGAGGAATGGCAGGCCGAGTTTGACAGATACAAGCAATTCCCGGAATACAAATAGTAAGTCCACTTTACAGACTGGATACGTCGGTACATGTATGTACCATGCTGCTGCTTTCTCTCAACTGTGGCTGTTGTCTTTGCCTTCCGTTCCAGCCTTGTGATCTTAGACGATTTTAATATCTCTGAAATCACGCAAGCCATTTTTTTGGGGGGGGGGGCAGAAAGATTCAAATGTGGAAATCCAAGCTACAATTTAGAGCCTTTTCACTTGCTTTATTAAAAAAAATGCCCAGGTGGGTTTTTGGAGCTGGAAGCAAAGGCGGGAGAAATGAACCCAAGGCTTGATAGCAATGTGAAGGTTGTGTATTGCTTTGACTGCATAGTGTGCACCATGACATCACACTAGATGAGTTCAAGTGGATCTGGCGCATGGAGTACGGCCATCGCATGTGGGGGCGTGCCATCGGCCTGGTGTTTCTCTTTCCGGCGGTATACTTCTGGAAGAAGGGTTGGTTTACCAAGGCCATGAAGCCCAGGGTTCTCATCTATGGATCACTGCTGTTATTCCAGGTGTGTAAACATTTTTCTACTGTACAAAACTTTGTCGTATTTAATAATGATTGGATTCTGCTGTGAAGAGCGAGTGTGGGTCATTTGAAACTCCTTGGAATGCAGTTTCATCTGAGAGAGTAAAGTGTATATATCGTGAAGTATTTTGTTTTTTTATACACTGAATACATTTCATTCTGAGTAAAACTTTAAAGCTCTTTTCAAAATCATCTACACGAGTCCTGCACCAGTCCTGCACGAGGGCACCATTTGCACTGCCTCAACATGACAGGCATTGCTAAAGGTTTTTGAAGGATTGAGGCATTGGCCATCCCTCCAACCTATTCAAGAAACAATGGAGGATTTTTGAGGACTCAGGCTGTATCCAGTGTCACAGTGAAGGCAGTTTGATGATTTTGAAAAACAGGACGCATTTAAGCCAAAAGAGCTGGGGGGGGGGTTGGAGTTCGAGGTTATGGGTAATGATAAAGTCAAGTCTCAAGGCTGGTACAAATGTACATACAAATTTTGTTCCCCCCATGTAGGGTCTGTTGGGCTGGTACATGGTGAAGAGTGGTCTGAAGGAGCCAGAGCCAACAGACATGCCCCGGGTCAGTCAGTACAGGCTAGCCAGCCACCTGGGCTCGGCCTTTGCCCTCTACTCCCTGATGCTGTGGAGTGGCCTGTCGCATCTCCTGCAGTACAGGCCTGTAAGTGATTACTGAGTGGACATCAATTGATCTGATGCAGCTTCTGGACTTTCAAATCTCTTGTGGAGGGGTTTAAAATAGTTTGATTTGTGGTACCTTCAAAAACCATTTTCCCCAGATCTTTTGGGGTGTTTTGCGACATAGCTGAAATTTAGGGTTGAATTTTTAGAAGACATTGTGTACAGTCTGGGATTTTGTGAGGGAAGGGTCAGACAAAAATTGAGGACAATTTCTGAAGACACAAATCTCAGGAATCAACAACATTTGAAAGCACAGATAGATGGATATTCATTTAGTGTGTGTGTGTGTGGGGGGGTTATGATTCCAATCCCCAGTGACATGAAAACCAGGATGGTGAAAAATGAAGAAAATCAGTACCACAGATGTTATTCGTTTATGTTCTGCAAACAGTGCCTTTCAGTCATTCACTGCTCTGGTGAACTCGGTTCACTAAGCTTGAAGGGTGATTGTCCCACAATTTTTTTTTTGCAGATTGCTGACAGCCGGTATTTGCCACTACTAAGGAAGTGTGCACACGGAACCATGGCTTTGGTCTTTTTCACAGCTTTATCAGGTACAGTGCTGTGGTGATTGTATTGAAACAGCAAAATAGTAGCCAACAGTGCGATGATCTTCAAGAGAAAATTTCAGTGCATAAATATCAGTGATGATTCTGAAAGATTGCTGAATACCACAAATATACAAACATACGATACGATACGAACACTTACGATAACATAACAAATTTTGGGAAAAAAGGGTCTCAATAGTTGAACTTCATTTGCTTGTGCTCTGCATCATAGGTGCCTTTGTGGCTGGGCTCGATGCTGGCCTGGTCTATAACTCTTTCCCTAAGATGGCTGATAAGTGGGTGCCAGATGACATCATGGCTATCGAGCCGAAATACAAGAATGTCTTTGAGAATCCGACAACAGTACAGTTTGATCATCGCATCCTGGTTTGTACAAACATTACAGGACTTCATTCCTAGTCAAACTTGACTATTTCTGCGACTGAGAATGTTTCCTTTAATAAGTTGATTCTTATAATGAAATGATTTCCTGTAAAATGTTCACTCTAAGCCAACATCTGTGTCACGAATAGGGAAAAAATGGTAAAGATGAAACGAATTTGAGAAAAGTCTAAGATGCTTTGTGTGGAACTCATCATAGAAAGGACTCTGCTGCCTATTCAGAGAAGCCTCACGTGTGCATTGTGTGTGAACACTATCATTGACTGTACTTTTCCTCCTGTGAACTGATTCATACTGTTCTGGGTGTGTGCGCAGGTTGCACACTCCAGTAAATTAAACATGAGAACCAGTGAAGGCATCGGTCAGCCAGATATGCCAGTATAAAATGCTTTGGAGGAAACAATACCTTATTTGTAGACTCCAAATAATGAAAATTAGTGGTTGGCATGATCATGTGGTAAAGTATAGGCAATGAGTGAATGTGAATATTAAATGAAAGTGATTGGGAGAGATTAAGTACAGGCAAGAGCTGAAGGTTGATGTATGAAACCAAATTGGTTTCTTTTACAGGGTACGACAACTGCCTTAGCTGTGGCAGGACTGTGGCTGCTGGCTCGCAAGGTGCCACTTCCAGCAAGAGCCAATCTAGCTGTGAATTGCATGCTGGCAATGGGTGCTGCACAAGTAAGATTGAAATCAACATCATGTGCAATTTAACAGACCCATTTGAGTACAAGTAAACTGACTCCTGATTGGATACTTGGGGGTTTGAATCTGGCTTCTGGCCATGTGCTGAGTCTCAGTTGCCTCTTTCCCATAAGCATTTGGCGTGCCCAAACTTCCTACTTATTGCTGCAGCTTGTCTGTTGGGAAGCATTTGTGGCATTTAAACCAAGGATTCCACGGCTATGTAGTTGCAAGTCTACAGATAGACACACAGAGAATAGATGAAAATATGTTGAGGTTTACAGATAGGAGGAATATATATCAGATAAATGTTCAGGGAAAGTGCATGGACTCCACTTAAAGCTTAATTGATAAATATTAATTTGGCAGAATTCAAACTCCTTTTACAAAGAAGGCAAACAAGATACCATGTGCTTATAACACTGAAAAAGTTAGTTATTTTACTGAACATAACATTACATAACAAAGTGCAGATCTTTGGAGCTTTAACTGGAGTGCTGGGGTAGAATTATTGTGCAGTAATCCATGTGTTAAGTTTTCCATTGCTGCTTCCCCCCACAGATAACCCTCGGTATCTGCACCCTGCTGTACTTTGTGCCCACCAAGTTGGCTGCAGCTCACCAGTCTGGGTCCCTCACGCTGTTGACCCTTGCATTATGGTTTGCTCACGAAATCAGAAAGGTTCCCAAGTGATCTTAAATACTAAGTAGATGGTTGTGTTGTAGGCAATCTTAAGTTGTAATACACAGTGTAGTTGTACAGAATCATGTAAGCAATACCCTTCATGCTGTGTTGGACACCTTATGGTGTGCCATGTCTAGAACAGTGTCAAAATGTTACCATCTGGTTAATATAAATTCTAGTTTGATCATGCCCTGTCAGAGTATTTGTTTTTCTCTGTGTTTTGTTTACTTTCACCCTAGCTTACTACATCTTCCAGAGCCCTTCAACAATTACATGTAAAAATGATGCACATGTATTAGGAGCAGGGTTATTGGTGCGATTTAACCTTGGAACTGTCCAGAGCTAACTTGGACATCCCAGCTGCCCGTTTTTAACTGCAGGGTCAACTGAATCGGCCAAAAGTGATCGTGGGAAGTGAAACCATGTGACTTTATTAAAATGGCTTACATCACTGAGAAGCAACCAGAAATTAATGTTGATGTCCTACCTTTACATTACTGTACCCCACTGCCTTGTTTTCTGGCAAGGTAACCATGCATCAGGTGAAATAGTCGTTTACATTTCAGATATGGTGGTAGGCCTTCCCATGTTAAGGAGTCAGTTTCCCTTGTTGGGAAAGCTTGAATCATGTTGCAGGCACAAGAATTTTTCCCCAAAACATCCATGTCAACTCGTGTATAGTCCCTATAACGTGGTCATCAATATGTGTGTCTTGTTAAGGACTGAATAACCTCACATTAGTACTGTGTACATGTATTTGCATCCTTTCAAATATCAACAAGCTGAATCTACATTCCACTGTAGTAAAACAAAATTGCATTGTGGAGCAACCTCGTGCCTGACTTCAGTGTGTTAACAGGCTCTTAGGTTTTCCCAGCACCTCTTACACAATCCAGCCCACAACTAACAAGCAAAAAACCCCAACTGTGAATTACATCTGTTACTGTTCATTTGATGTCCCTTTCATCTCATAGAACATGGGATAAGATTGACAGTTTTTTCACATGTAATTCATTTATACCATTTTTCCTGACTTTTGAGGCCCTCTTGAAGTGTACCAGTATATTCATATAATGCAAACTGTGGGACAGAGTGAACCCACCCCTCCCTTCTTTGTGTTGGTCATTGTTATACTGGTATCTAAGGAATTCTTTTCAGACATTTAGGGGGGATGTGTTTAAGTGACAATAAGCTGGAGTGTGTATAGTGATTGGACTTGGTGGGGTACCCCTCTGTCCTATTTCGTACGTAGTATAACTATATCGTGCATGTAGGTCAGTAACTTTTTTTACAAAACAAATTGAAACTTCAATAAAAAAAAATCAAATTATCAAGCCTGTTGACCTGTTTACTGTGTGGTCGTTTAATGTCTGTCTCCATCCCTGTTTGACCTCTTGGGCACACACTGAGGTTAACATTTTCTAAATGGCTCCATACACACACAACATAAATAGCAATAAAAAGTTCCCACTTGCAGCATTATCGCTTGCACAAAGCTGAACAGCATTGAGGGCAATGCTACAGTCACAGCCCAACGTTAAGTCTCTGTGCCAAGAATGCCTCTCGCAACTATTTCTAATAATCTGCACAGCATAGCAACATCTCTCATCTCTGGACAGGTGATCAGTTGGTCATAAGACCCTATGTAGTGCCATCACCTCCTACCTGTGACCATCTTTCCAATGATCTCTGACTATATTTACACAGTGACCATTAGTTTTAGACCTTGTGGAGAGGTATCACCTGTTGTCTGTGACAGACTGTCCAATCATCTCTTCGGCTTCATTTACACGGTGATCATTAGTCAAGTACCCTGGGAAGCCTCATCACCTGTTGTCTGTGACAGGCTGTCCACTGATCTCTTTTGCTACATGTAAACGGTAGAGTGCCTCTCTCTTTCCAAGCATTACGATCATTTCTGCTACACTCGCTCCTTTCTGTTTGCCAAATCAAGGAAAGAGACAAAAATTGTTAAAACCACACAGCAGTTACTTTGCTAACCCTAACCTTCAAAGATTCTTCAAAATAACAAGGCTTTGGGAGCATTTCACAGGACTGAGGAAGTAGTTGAAAGGCAATCATTACCAATTCACCCGATACATGCTACTATGTTACTATGCAATACATGTACATGTACTTGATGCCACTCAAATTCCCCCCAAACTTCCAGTTCATGAGATCTAAAGTGCACAAATTAAAAACCCAAATTTTTAAAACCTCACCACGGTTGCTGAAATCATGAGTGATGCACAGTTTTCGTAAAAATTGAGACTTCAGGCAGCCTTAATTCATCCAAACTGAATAATAATTGTTACTATGCAAATTCTTTAATTACAACGTCAAATAAGACCCACTGGTCTAATCGTTTTCTAAAAGTAAAAAGTCTTTATACCTTACTACCCTCCTTGGAAGTAAGGATGCACAACATTACTGTAATATATTTTAAATGCCATTTTTGCTCAAACTCAGGCACTTTTAATAGTCGGAAGCAATGTGCATCAACGTTCACTTATAAATGACTGAGTGCACTATCAATGCCACTCACTGGGAAGTGAGCCAATGCATGCACCATGCTTGTCTGTTCTTGGTTATTGGGAACAAAGCACAGGTGCTATACTGAGTCAACAAACCACAGTCCAATCTTACCTTGAGATTACTCAAGGCAGCTCTCAGCACCTTCATGAAGACAGGGTAAGGGATGCCAGCCATGCTTTCACTGCATCTCCTCAGCTTGGGCGAGAGCTCTCCTGCCTCGCCGAGTGCCACCTCCTGGAGGTTACCAATCTCCTTGCATACTTGTTCTAACACAAGCTCTGTGAATATAACCACAAGTTGCATGATGCCCATCCTGGCCTAATGTCATTTGTCAACTGAAAACCTTACAATTATCTGCTTATAGACTCATCTACTGGTCCCTCTCAGAGGACGTAATATTCATATGAAAATTACAGCTGCATAATCAGTGCCATCAGTGTGCAAGTGTTCTATACACGTGTGGATGTTAATCCAAATGTCTGCGAAATGCAGGGCAGCCAGTTAGGAGTCACGGAAATTTGTAATCCAATGTACTGCTGCATATGGCAATCTGTAGGAAGTGATGTCATTTGAGATAGACTTACGACATCTCATCAAGTTTAATACAATTTTGTCAACTGTAGTAAGCTCAACTGCCTCTACACTTCTGCTTAGACTTGCTTATCTTCTGTTTACACTTCTGCTGAATCATGCTATGTTTAACAATTCAGTGCAATTTCCTCAAGCTTAATGATGAATTTATGCCAATATGACAGTGGGTATCCACACATACTAAATAATGCCAATGCGCAACCTCTGGATGACTCAACCTAGAGTCTTTGTTGGGATGCTTGCAATGCACTCGTTGTGAAGGCTACTGGTATGTCTGGCAGACCACTGAAAACGTAGCTCTAAATGACCAATTGTTAAACCAGCACGGTACAATGCCTTGGCTTGAAAGCAACTCTACAGATGGATTTTAGGCTCCCCGGGCTTGATGAACACAGATGCCTTTTGGCCTTGGATGACAGACCTCGTCTCTACTGTCACCATGAATCTGGTCCATGTCCATGGCATCTTATCAATATGCTGTATACTTTACTATCCAAATTCTGCCAGCGGGTGGGAACATGAAGGGTGAGTAAACCTGCTCCACTTTGCAGCGTTGACTGTAGGATTTTGGCAAGGCGTACAATAGCTGCAGAAAATCTGTCCAACATTGTTGTAATCACACTGATAGTAGAGAAGACTTTTTGTAAAATTTTGGCCGAACTTGTGAGGTCACCTTACCTGCATGTGGAGACACTGAAGTTAATTCTTCCTTGCTGAGGCTTGGCCGTAACCATAGGTAGATGTGGTCTGATTGACACAAATCTTGCAGCCTTCCAACATGTTGCTACGGATGCAAAATATCAACAGTGAGGTGTGCTTGTTACGTAGAGTTTGACCCATAAAAAAGCACCAAAGAAAGGCAACAAACCCACAACACGAGTCACAAAAACTTCCGAGAACCACATCAAACTGAAGTCAAATATCTGTCATGGACCAAACTCACTAAAAATATCAAACAACTTGGAATACTTAAATCTGCCACTAGGAAACCGTCTGTTTTTTACTGTTGTTTTACCGTTCCATTTTAAATATTTGTTTAATATTGTTACTGGCATTGTTGTGATTTTGATTTTCAGCAAATTTACTTTTATTTATCTTTAAATATCTTGTTGTTTTCACTGCATTATGCAAATAGGAAAACAATCTTCCTGGCTTTTTAATGTGACATTTATAATGAATTGAATTGTTCTGCTGGGAAACAAAAACTCTTCCCAACTGGAACAGCTTGGGAAAAACCAGGTGCTCTTGTATAAATGGCAATGCTTGCCTGTGCACTAGTAAACCAACTTGGGTGTAGTAAATTTCATGCAAAACCATATCGAGAACCCTACTTGTTCCAGTTTAAAAATAAAGTGCAGCATTTCAAAAGAAGCAAGAAGGTTTCAAGTTTAACAGTTCTCAATCAATAACTATATGAAGTACAGCATGTCTATCTAATTAGATTTTCCAAGAGAAATCAAAAGACAACTAAAAATAGCATATGTACCTTTCTTGCATTCTTTTTGCTTATTTACGGATTGCAAACTTCTTTTTTCATGCCTACTTTGAGATTTTCTGATTCAAACTTACTTTACGGGCTTCTAGAACTCTTAGTAGATACTCATCCGTGAGGTCATCAATCTTGCCCAGTTCTCCTGATCTGAAGAAAAAAAAGTGAGTAACAGAAGCATCTCAAAGAACCCACAAATTATGATTATTGAACTTATTAAACTTACTCAAGGTTAGGCCAAATCCAAACCCCCCACTCCAACCAACCCCCTCAATCAACCAAATCCACTCAACCCAGCCTAACCCAACACAACTTCTGTGCAACCATAAAACTATGCCGTCCAAAGTCTCAGTTAATTTCTGACTCCAACAAAAAAAATCACCATAGCCAATTTGAAGAATATAGCTTTCCATTTCACAAGCATGTTGTGGTTGGCATTGAAAAGACCACCCCTACTTGCGGTATCAGCTTTGTCCTACACAGCACACGGCATACACTTAAATACAATTAAAAAGTCTGAATATTTCTGCTATACTTGAAAAACACTATTTGCTGACTTTCCAGCTGTGCTGAAACATCACATACTTGGTGGCTTGGTTTTCATCACACACTGTACCTTGTCAGCAACTCTTCCACATCTTGCCTGAGCTGAGCTACCAGTCTCTGCCTGCCTTCTGCCCTTGCCAGCAACCGAGTGATGTGACCCCTGTTGACATCGGGTAGTAGCCTCATCTCCAGAACAGCGGAATGGGTGGTGACTCGATCTAGTGAAAACTAGAGTATGCACAAGTCAAATGACAACAATGCGTGCCGTCAGTGTAGACTAGACACCTCCAACTGAAGCTAAGGTCGGCTAACTTTTTTCAGAATGGCAAGTGCCATCCTCACTTGGTGATATCAAGGTCTGAAACTGTGAAATCCTACAGGATGCAATTCTATAATCTAAGCTCGTCTCTGTTCTTTATACCAAGGACAAAGTCGGCAACATACACTCTCCTGAGCGAAAAAACATGATGCAGATATACACAGTGCACTGGTATCAAAACAGGAACTCCTGTTATTTGGCCATTAACTACAGTATACAACTGCGCACTGCAGCTCACTGCCATGAAATGAAAAATCATCAATACAAGGTTTGAATTTCACTGCACAATTACAACAAACAAACCTCCTGTATCAACTGCTCCATGTCCCGTATCTCCTTGTTCTCTTCGAAGCCTGACCCACAGAAAGTGATGAAATTGACCAATGCTTCTGGCAAGAAACCTGCATCCTAATTAAGAGATCGAAAAAAATCATATTTTTCCAATTTGGAATGGAAAATACTTCCCTTAGCAGGTTATTAAATAAACACAGCAACTTTGCAAGATGGGGTTTTGGGCTTGACAAGCTGCAGCAAGCCAGAGTACTTGCAAGGTGTAAGAAATGCCGAGAATCTCAGAAGTAAGACGTTACAGATATGAAACAATTTTTACCTTGAAATGCTGCACAAATATATCCCCTTGACGCTTGGATAACTTACTTCCATCTCTGCAAGTAAACATGTACGCAGAATTGAAACGCCAACAGAAGATTAGGGTTTACATAGAGAAAATGTTGATGAGTAACCGCTAGTCACAGTTTCAGAACCTAAACTACATGTACCTGAGAATCCTAGCTTGCTAATTACCATTACTATGTTAATCTGCAAAATATGAGTACAAGTACAGAAAACCAATAAACCAATGCATAAAGTCCAATTTTAACATTTTAACAGGAAACAAATGTTTATGGGTTTACTTTCAGGTTTGAAAAGGCCAAATTGAACAGGTGCTACTTTCTAACACAACAAATCCTAGAGGAATTATATTCCTTGTCCTGTATTTCTAAGAATATCAAAACTCAAAACAAAAGTATACATTTTTGACGGTGACACTGTGAAGTACTTTACACAGTAATCTAGGAATTTTTGAACCTTTGATGCGATCCCCTTTTAACCTACTTGTTAAGAAGTAGCGGCAAATGTGCAAATTTTGGAGGAGTCCAATGCAGGGCCTTGTAGAGGCTGAGGTGTTTGGGTGTAGATGTCAGCCACTCCTGGTGGGGATATAAAATATCAAGCCTGGATTTATCGAGAAATAAAAAAACAATGATGAACATGCATGTTCAAAGGCTGCCAAAGGGTTCTTTAACGCATTACACAGAGCTACATTAAGAATAACCCACAAGAAGTAGCATTAAATAAAAAAACATGGAAACTTTCCAGCAGTTTCTGTAAATTTCCAACAAACTTTCACACCTGCATACATGTTATTGGAAATTGGCAGTAAACATTTGACATACAACAAAAAAAAAATTTCCCTTGTACTGCTTCGTATCTGTTTTAGGTTGAAGGGGCTGTTCATAATTTACAACTTGGTCCAAGCTAGAGTCTGAGAAGCCATTGATGTCTGGGCTTACCATACCCCGCAGCACATGTGTGATTCCCATTACATGATCGTCAACAACATTGGCGAAATGGTAGGTGGGGTAGCCATCACTTTTGATCAATACCTAGAAGCCATAAAGTAAAATGTCCAGATGTGGTCAAAATCTGAATACAAAATTATTTACGTAACATTAACCAATAAGAAGAGATACAAGTAATTTAAGAACTGAATTTTTGTGACCTGCTCAAGGAAAAATTTGATACGTCAAATCAAGCGATGCCTTTCCATGCAATTGTATGCTCAAAGGTAAGAGGCTGAAATTTCTCTTGGGATTTCAATTTTTATTTCTTTGGTCAGAAAAGTTGATCTTTGGTCAATGCAGTATCAGGTTTCATGAACAAGTATGCTTGAAGGGGAAAGTGTTAGTTGCTTGGAAGATTTGAGATGTCCGTCTCCCAAGCTGACATGTAAGTCTGCATCTGATTCAATTATTTCCAAAGCTAGTAATCTGACTAGTGTTAATGAGAACTCCAGAGAACTATATGAAAAAATGTCATCTCTGGAATGCAATGTGTCAATGAGTTCTGCCTTGCACCTAATGAAAGCTTACAAACTTACTTCAAGCTATGGACAGAACATTGTTTTTCCATTTCTGCAACATATAATACCTTTCTGCAGACTGGGTCACATTAATTTAGAGAATCTTGTGAATTTCACAGATGATTACACAGCTGTACAATACTACATGAATACTTCAGAGGACAAGGCACTGCAAATGTATTTCCCTTTATTCAAATATTGTAACACCCTCATAGACTAAGCTTACACACACTTAAACTGATCCTGTATAGCGTTTGGTATTAAATTTCATTTATAAAATAAGCACAACGTTTGGTGCACTTAAAGTGCTCTGTTTGCATTTTTAATTCAGATTACATTGCACTGGATCTGAAAAGTGAATTTTGAACTTACAGGATCTCCTTCTATGAGGAAAGTATCATGGCTTGTTTTACCATAGACCAGATCCTCGAACGATTCCCCGTCCGGCTCGAGCTAGGTCAAAATGAGAATAGGAAATAAATGCTCTCTTCTGTTGTTAAAAATCTGAAAATTTGATCCAGTTAATTAATGAACACAAAATATTATTTTTCATAAAGCTGTATTCAAAATTAATTGATCACTGTTTTGTTAAGGCATGTGCAATGACTAACCTTAAATCGCACCACACTTGGTTTCCCCGAATGCAAGAGGTCTTGCATCTCTTGCTGTGGTATGTGTCGGCATTTGTTATCATAGCGGGGCACCTGTCTGTTTCTCACGGCTTCCTTCCGGAGCAGTTCTAGCCTTTGCTCTGTGCAGAAGCAGTGGTATGCAGCACCTGACTATGAGAAAAAAATCACTTCCTCTGTGACTTCGGAAGACAGGCAAAGTATTTGTGACAGAGAGTGATTATTTTGAAGGACATCTTGGTAAACACTGTCCATTCCGTAATGCACAACAACTTATTAAATTTTTACAAAATACATGTACATGTATATACATGTAGCACCAATGTGTGTAAAAGGCATAAACGGGAAAGCCAGCATGTGAACCAACACACAGGCGTACTCCATTCATTTGCACTACACTTCCTGGTCCAAATAATGCCATGCTTTGGTACTCTATAACCAATGGGCGTGTATTACATAAACTTTTCAAAGTTTTTCTTGATGTGCACAGTAATGTCTGACAAGTCTCCATGAAGCTTGAAGCAACAAAGAACTTCACTCACCTCAACCAGAGACTCTATGTGCTTCTTGTAGATATGAAGCCGTTCCGACTTTGAAATGATTAAAAAACAATATTAAAATGATAAAAAAGGTCATTCAGTCTCAAAATAGAGTTAAATGAAAGACTATCCTGTATCTTGCGTTTAATAATTTGTTGACTGCAATCAAGCCAGGTTCCCAGTGTGAGAGGAACCCAGAATGTTTTATTCAGTGAAAGAGGTTTTCATGACTATGCAAGAAACAAAACATAGTACATGTATGCTTGAATGGGTTACCTGCCTGTATGGTCCAACATCTCCTCCCTGAACGGGACCTACATGTAAGATAATAAAATTGATTTAATCAAAAGATGAAAATGCAAGTACAAGTACTCATCAGAAGACACTGAACTTTAGCATCATCTAGCACAACATGCAATGCATACATTGTATTTGACAAATTCCATCCTGCATGCAGGTTTGAGATACGAATATTTCCAACTTGTGTGTATGATATCGACACAATAACAGATTGAGTACAGTTCTGAGAATCCTCGGATAGGCCAAAAAGTTGATATCTGAGGTTGAGGTGAAGCCATGCTTCTCTGAAACTACACACAATATTCTACATGTATGTAGCGTTTTAAAAATGTCCCGGGGGGGGATGTATAGGTAATAAAGTCTAAACTAAGCGATGTTCAGGGCTAACTGTAAACATAACGCTTTTCAGTTGTGTGGCTAATGCTCTATTTGTCAGGATTTACATGTACAGTATGTGTACGTATATGCTCAGTGGGGGAAGCAAGAAAGGATTAACTGAGTAGATGAACATCTGTGGTTGGACTCAAAGCTGTGAAGAGATGTACATATAACACCCTTTGTAAAAGACCTTCTAATGAGTTTCTTTTCAAGCTATTTTGCATTTTTCAGGGAACCTTTTTCCAAAGGTGTATTAAAAAGATCGCCAGTCACACCTATATACTATACATGTACATGTCTAGTTTCTGAAGCTTTTAAGTCAACCACATCTTGCTACATTCAGGTGATTGCCCATCGGAGTCAAAAGCACTCCGACTACAGTGTATTTACAGGGTACATACCTTCATCTGGATTGATGCCAGACCACTCAAGCATGTTCTGCAAGTGCTCCTCTGCACCAGTGACAAGCCGTGCCTGCAAACAACGAGGCCATCCCTTTCGTCAAACTTTTGCACCAGGAAGGACATCATCAGAAAATATCTTATTTCCTATGTAAGTATTTAATTTGAAGCTTACAGCAAGACTAGACCATGTCCACTTCATGACCCTGATGGAAAATGTGCTAGTCTCCTGGCATGACGTGTGAAGTGAATGTCAGAGTAATGAAAACATACATATACGGTGTTAGCTGCTTCACAAACCTGTCTGGTTTCATGAAGTACATTTTCACAAGCTCTTATTACAGGTAATTCTGATAACAACAAATACTCAGACAATCTAAGTAAAATCTCCTTATACATTTACAAGCTAAAATCTTTCTGAGTTTTAAAGTTGCATTTTAAATTTCTATCGATTATGTTCTTAAAAATCAACATGTGGATGTACAACAAATATGCTCTTCATGGCATATTTGCCATTATATGCATAACACTTTCCCATCTGTTTTGTACCCTGAATGGCCAACGGCTTGCCACAGGGGATTTGCTGTTTCTGCTATCTTGCTTTAATGGCCAAAAGAACCATATGCATGGGCTACATTCACAGAAACTGAAGTACTAAAGACTTGTAGCAACCACAGAACTATGAACATGACCACTGGCACAGTATGCATACTGGTGTGTGCACTGAGCACATTCTGAAGTGCTACTGCTGCAGAGCCGGGTTCAAACATTTCATGAAAAGGTAGAGTACATGTTGTTTAGAAATAACGCGCTGGTAAATTTTCAACAGATTTCGTATTCAAACAGATATTTTTTTACATAAAACTTATCAGCTTTTGCTTAAATCAAGCAGAACCAGTGGGAGAGGTGATATAAATTTGGACTGCTTTGTTTCATTGTGAAGTAAAACCAGTCTTCTGAGGTGATCTACGGAGCATTACATTTTCGTAAGACTTCATCTAGTTTTCGCCTGGGGAAAATGAAATGCCGCAGGGAGACAGGAGGCTAGTGTCACTACACCACTTGAAGTAGTTTATATTGCACTATCTTCAGGCAAACTTGAATTCCCACTTCTGATTGGTCGATCCATGGAAACAAACAGTGTGATATATAACTGTATTGCACAGTTCATATCAAACCCTGCGTAATGCGTTGTTCTATCTCAACGCATTGGACTACTTTTATGCTAACAGCAAAATACACAACTGCAAATATTACTTTAAATTCATTCATAGGTGGTGTGTTTGCCTGCATAGGGCCCTATAATATCTATGCTGCGCGTCAGCTTTACTTGAAGATAAATTCATTATCATGCTCACACTCATGTGATAACTACATGTAATATACATATACTACCTGGTCTGTATCTTCAATCCTCAAAATAAATTTGCCCTGGTGTGCTTTGGCAAAGATGTAGTTGTAGAGGGCTGTCCGAAGGCCTCCGAGGTGAAGCTGTCCAGTGGGGCTTGGCGCAAACCGGACACGCACCTCACAGCCAGAGAAAGTTGAGGTGGTGAACTGACGAACTGCTCGGCTGAGAGATAGCCTCAAAATTCCCATGATTCCTGGGCGTCCGCTGATTGGAAAGACCAAATAAACGTGACACTTCAAAACTGACACAACAAGCACAGAAAAATATATAAAAATATTTTCTTTCTTACTTGAAGTCTGGTCAAAGTGCTCAGAATCTGCAGGAACGTGGAAAGCCTAATGGTCCATTTATGCATGCCAAAGGTTGAACAAAAAAATTACAAAAAAAGATGATAATAAATGTGAGGCTCTCACCAGTACCCCATACATAATAAACCAACCTCCTACTCAGTACTTGAGTCTTGACATGACCTTGTGCATGCCATAACAAGCAATGTACATCATCATACTAGGCCACATACATGTACATGTACATGTATATGTGCATGATCAGACAACTTACCGGTACCTGGCAAGGCATAGGCCTAGGCTACTTCCAAAACTGTAAGGTTTATATTAACTAGTTATGTACAAACTCCCATTCACACATTTTGTGACCGAACTTCTGTGACTAAAATCTACATGCAAGTACTACATGGCAACCTATGCAAACCATGACTGGCGACAAAGATAGATCTAAGAGATCAGGTACTGACTGCAGGCTGGATTTTGTAGATAATTTGAATGGTTGTGATTCAACATTAAAGAATTCTTGCCTGATAATGACTGTATAGACCTTGTCACTAATAAATTCCCAATTTTGCAAGCAAGCACGCACATATGGCCTTGGCGACAAGGGCCAATTGAAAATGCACAGGGATGCGATTTTGATCATTTTCTCTAAGGTTTTCTGGCTTTGTTCAGTTTTTCCCCCCAAGAAAATCCCATTATTTCATTTTTGTTTTGTATTAGTTTCTAATCTAAGCGGGATTTTTAGTGCTAAGCTTAATGTCATGTGCACAGGAAAAATTACATGTACGACTGTAAAGCCTTTTTACAGAGCACTAAAAAATTGGCTTAATTAGATGAAACACTAATAGCAAAAGCGATTTAATGAGATTTTCTGAAGATAAAATGCCGAAGTTCTCTTTTGATGGGGTTGGGAAAACCTTACAAGTTACAGTTCTGGAAATAAGCATGTAGGACCAAGAAGGCTTGCTAGGTCTAACATGCTACCCATTAGGCACAACAAAATTTAAAACATGTTTCTCGTCCCCGCACGTTTCCTTTTTTGGACCCCCATGCATTTAAACAAATTTTTTATTTATTTAAAATAAAATCCCCAACAATCCATGCACTTATGATGTCCGTGCGAGTCCTTCGCTCCTCTGTTCAGACTCTCTTAATTACCCCCATGTGGGGTCCGACATCCGCCCCACTCCCACAAACCCCATAGACATGACAGAAAACAAGCCGTAGTCAACCAATTTGTCGCGGCTTGTCTTTACAAGTACACATGTAAACTGCATGACTCTTGGGCGCTGATCGGGAAATAGTTGCACTTTGTTTTTTTAAATCGGCATGGTTTTGGCCCGTTATATTCTTGGTACAAAATACGAAGGTATGTAAGCTAACATACATAGAACTGAGAAATGGGTTTGCGGGTACACCATGGAATCAATCTCTTTTGGACGAGGTGTGGTTCTTAAAAGATCCGGTGAGTATGAACTCGACGCCAGTGTGCTCTGGCCTTCCTCAGGAGAGTGTACCGGACTGGAGTGGATAGCTGGTTATAAAGGTAATCGGAAGCGGTGGAGCGTGGAACAGGATTCGCGAGTTGTATGACTCAGCGTGTGCCGTGTTGCATGAAGGTGGCCTATAGTGTAAATATAATTTCAATCATTATAGGCCTAAAAACATTTTGTTGAACTAAGGATTACCAGAAATCTCAAATTTCAGCCATTTGAAAAAAACAAAAATTCAAACCCCGCCTCCTCCTCTTAGTCTTTTATGAAAAAACAGATGAGAAACTTTTTTTTTTACTTGGCGTTATTTCCAAATGCCGAAAAATAGAGTCCCACCCCGTTACTATGTAACGGTACAGCTGCTATGACTTTATAAGTCATATTACCACGACTGCTGCATGTACTAAATAAAATAACCCCATGCCTAACCATAAGCCATACGCTAATGCTGCATGAGTAATTTGTGTAATAGTAAAGCCAAAAGGCATAATGGGAAGGAAAAAGGGACGATCTAACATTGCCCCTTTTCCCTTCCCACAATTATGACAATGCCTTTCCGCAGTTACATGTACATGTATGCAAAATCAGCTAGGCCTATGCGGTATTACCATGGAGGTAGGAAAAGACTACCTCCGTGGTGATAAGGCTTATTAGGCAGTTAGGCCTGCACATTTTGACATCGATCGGAAAAAGAGTTCCATACATGCTTGGCTACTTCCTAAACGGTAAGGCACAAACTACTCCGTCGGGCCTTTGGTATGGTCCCTCTTTTTGATGGTTCCTTACGTAACGTAGGCCTACGCTAAATTGTAAAGTGCCCTGCAATCGTCAGGTGATCGTACCAGAGAAAACGTCTGTGTTTGTGTTTTCTAAAAACTCAAACCACTTCATGCATAGAACCAGGAGCAGATGGAACATGTATACATGTACCTTTCATGCCTTTCTCCAAAAAGTTTTCGTAACCTAGCGGCAGTCGCGGTACGTCTTGCGTGCAGTTACCTGTACCTGTGCACACATGGATGTACTGTATTTTCATCATGCAGTATAGTCAGGTAGTACAGCAGTAGTGCAGGACATGACAGGCCATGTGTACCATGATTGCGCCCTCCAGTGGTGGTTTTGCGCGCAGGCGAGCTAATTATCCCCCAACCGTGGAAATTTGAGCTTCCGCTTGTTCAAAAAGGAGACCACTTCTTTACAGAAGATAATTTGGAATAAATAACGAACTGTTTGCAATAAAGGTCATCAAAAAATTTCCTAATCATATAAAAGGTATACACCAGCTCATCAGGACAACTTCTCACAACACAGTACAGAGTGGAAAATGTTTGAAAGGAATCGATCACTTCTTCACTTAGCAAGTTTTTGAGATTTTTTGGAGGAATTTTGGGAAAGGGGGGGGCAGGGAAATCTTCCTGAAAGAAAAATATCTCACATATCCATGCATCCAGGGAACTGAGACTACACACGATAAACACAGCACATGCAGCCTCAATCGGGTTGCAACTGACCACACCATCTTCCCCCTCATCAAATGAGGAATAGAATCACGGGCAGTTCTATTGAAACTTCTGAAAAATGGGTTCCAAGCCCTAGAACACACAACAACCACCACCACCACAACACGTACATATCTGCTACAGAAAACTTTATTTGCAAAGTAAGGTATAAAATGGATTAACTCAGGTGTGTATAGACTATACCTACTTGAAATGTGAAAATCACTACATAAAATGTAACATCCTTTAAGTACGATAACTTTGAATTTCAGAAAAGGAAAATTACTAGTACTGTAGTGGCCAGGCAGAGAACATGAACATGCATACTTATTTATATATTTTATAATCAGAAAAAGTCACTGCAAGTTACCAGTGGAATACAGTGAGACTGCAGAGTATACAATATCATCACCAGACCTAACACTGAATAAGACAGTTTGATGTAAAAGCACAAAGGCAGAACTAATGCAGGAGAGTTAAAAAAGGCCATGCCCCCAAGCTGCCAAAAGGAGCCCCCTAAAAAAAAAAAACAGAATTAAAAGTCAAATTATTTGGTCTATTTCCATTTCCGTCCTTCACAAAACGGGTAAAAAAGCCCCGAAATGTTGCCTTACCCCACAGAACAGCCATACAAAGTGATACTTGAAAAGATTTCTGAAATTTCTGGCCCCCCGAAACAAGCTCTCCCCATCCCTCAAAAATTTGGTTCTGGAGCTGTCCCTGCATCAGCACAAAAAAAATAATGGAATAGAACAGTCAATTAAGACTGCTGCAGGAATGTGAAACATTTTATCAATTTCAACTTGTTTTTTACAAATGAAACACAATAGTGATTAAAAACTTTTGCTTAAGTACAATTATTCTGAAAAATATATAAAATGGACTTGCTAACATGAAAAGAATGCTACAAAAGCACTGCTGACACTTTGCCCATTTAGTTTTTCACACTGACAAAAGTCATTCTGTAAATTTGGTGTACAGGACTGTTTTTCCAGTCCCTTAAGATTATCTTACTAGACGGAGGTACATGCTTACTAAAATCTCTAAAAAATGAGGAAATGTACTTACACGTAACTTTCTGTTAAATTGAATTTAAAGTTTTGTTAAATCAATATAATTAAAAATGTAGTCTTGTGTTACTCTATGGCCTCTTAGGTGCACAGTAATACTAATAAACACTATACTCACATGCTGCCTATTTTCTTTACCAATCAAAACAAGCTACGCAAATTCTATGCACGCTATAACTAGTTTCTTTAACCCGAATGACAGACATTTATTTGAAATCCTTGGTGACTTTTTTTTCCAACTACCTACAATGAATCAAAAGCATCTTTGGAGTTGCGCCGTGAACCAAAATCATCAAGCATTTCGTAGGTATTCTCAACCGTAGCTTTTGCTCCTGAAAAAACAAACAAAAGACATAAAACACGCAGTGAAAACATGCCTTCGGATTTAACACCTACTGACATCATCCCTATTGTGGGTACTCATTGTTAGTACACATAGACTCGTGCACATTTGGCGCAAGATATACTGAGCATAAGGCAGTCAATTTCAAGTGTGTGAATGAGTGATGTGAAAACTCTCCACCAGCCTGTCACATCTTAGAAAGCATGGATGGAAATGGAATTCCAATGGCATATTTCAAAAGCTTCAACAAACTATTTTTGACAAGTCCTGTATAGTATGTTCATGGTCTTCGTGCAGTACGGATGGTTCTCGATATACACTTGCAAAAGGATATGGTGTACAACAGTCATATATATATTGGGAGGGGGTTCACTGGTATGGAGCCCAACAAGAAGGCCTTCGCTTCCCCTATGCCCCTAACCTGCTCAGAATTTGGACAAAATAAAAAAAACCAGCTTTGTAACATTCAAAGCTACGATCCCATGTACATGACACACTACTGAAATGCCCCTCATCAGTCAACTGCAGCTCCTCCCCGAAGTGTCCTGCCTGCAATCGATCGAGACACTAGGTGAACACAGTATGCAGCACTTTGCGTGAGTGAATGGCATGTACAGTTTCAACAAAATGTGCACAAGTGACAGGAGCAGACATTAAGATGGATGCAACAAAAATCACTGATGGAGTGTTGGCCAGAAACAGTAATATTTTCCAATTTTATCACCTAGGCCTGCTGAATACATGTAAGATTGTTGGAAAGTGAAAATTTTGTTATTGACACAAACCTTTTTCCCTCATTTCCAAGACTGCCACCTGCTTATTCAGATGAGCTTTCCACTCCAGCAGGTAGATTGCGTAAAATATCAGCAAGATGATCAAGATGCCACCACCGACAGACACACCGATCAGTGCGTCTCTGAAGACTGCTGCCTGACGCTCAAACTCCTTCTCTCTGTCTGGATCGCATGGCTTGGGATCGTGACTTATCATTGGACATGGTGTTGTCATCATGACTGAGAAGGAAGAGCAGATCAGGGTTTAAATAAGTATTGATTGCACTAAGCAAATCAAATAACATGGGGCAGAACTGCAGCGTTCTTGCTAGTGAAATACACTAAGAGCTCACAAAATCAAACAGACACACATCATGGGCTTTAATATACAGAAAGAAAACATTATTCTGGGTTTTAGGAAAAGGGTTTTACGTTTCTATAAAGGACCCAGAAGAAATATCTTGCAGTCTACATGTACTTTTTTCCAAGGTGATCTGACCCCGGCCGGCCTTCTTGCAGCTCAGAAAGCCCCAAGGCTTACCCAAACAAACTGCGCAACTAGTCAAGCAGTGACTCACCAGGATGTGAGTGGTAAGAGAACTTAAATCCGGGCTGATTGGAGGATGAATTCTGGCCATCCGAAGTGAAGACTATCAACAGAGCCCCCCTGGTGCTGGATAACACGGGGGGGTGTTCTGTGGTAGAGCAGTTTGTCAGCAGCATGGATGGGTCACTCATGGTTCCGTCATAAACGGCGACATCGTCTCCGCTTGAGCAAATAGTCCAGTCAAAGTGGATCGACTTCAGGAACACTTGGGCACCTTCTGGAGCCTTCAGGAGGGTGTGACAGTTCAGGAACATTGGATAGGCGGCTGGGTACAGTGGTGAGGTAACATATCCGGTGTTATCCTTATCAACCACGATTGTGTCATCGCATCTCCACTCTGAAAAAGAACGAGCATCTTTGATAACAACAGGCCTAAAATGTACCTCTTATCATCCTGCACACAAACAAATACAAACTTGTTCCATAGTTGTGGGGACTATACTGATATATAAATGATGTATTCATCATGTACCGGGTTTGTAGTTAAGGGATCCACACAAGTGTTCATCAAACAGATGTTGCATGGACCAAAAATAACACGGACACATTATTGTCCCTACAACTACGTCGCGACTTCCCAATAAACAAGGTCTCCTTCAAAGTGGTGATGGCTTGAGCACACAGACATGCGGTAAATTGCACACGTAATCACAGACAATAAGACATTTGTGCAGTCTCTTGATTATTTTTAGTTACACTTCAGACTCTGGATGCACTTGAATGCACTGATAACAATGTGGTATTCGGTATGCAATGCGCTGACCTGCTTTGTACGTGCCAACAAACTGGTTCATCAGGACATTGACAGAATGGAATTTTAAAATGAAGGACGACCCTTTGACCTCGATGTTGTCGTTTCTCTGCAGCAATTCATACAGGCAAAAGCGAACAGAAGGGGCTGACTTCCCCTCAGACTTCATTCCATCGGCAGTGACAAAATTGCGGCAATCTGTCACGCCCTCGTCTTCATCGGTGATGACCCCAGCCATGGTGATAGTGAGCATGTTGACCTTTCCATACGGCTTGACAAACACAGAAAAAACACCGCTCACTGGGCCATTGTAGTCACCACTAGAGAATTTGGCTGGCGATTTGATCACACCCCGGTAGGCATCGGAAGTCGAGTTGAAGGGCGAATCTGGCAATTATTTAAAAAAAAGAGACATTCAGTGAGTTCTCTTATTAATTACACCATCTAAACTGTATCTGTGAATACAACCAGACTGTCTCTGTACAATTTACTTTTGTCGTTATTAAAGATAAAAATCCCTCAAGTGGAAGATGCTGCTGTCACTTTGTATGTCTCCAGTTGAGAACTAGCTACCTTGGCTACTTTTGCGCATTCTAAAGGGGCCAGATACAATTTCTGCCCGGAATGAGCACTGGTATTGACATTTTTACACAGACCAGTTTAATAACTGCAGTGAAGATCTATCATCAGACATTTGGCCACAAGAACAAGGCACAGATAAGCAGCCAAATTCAGTGTTTGCTGGATCAAGAAAGTTGTCCCAATTTGTTGAAAACTGAGCAGCTGATAAGCCTTCCTATGCATTAGTTCAATACCACAACGGGGAATATTTCAATGCATATGAAATGTACTACACTCATATTACTTCACATCAAGAGTGTCAGAGGAATGCACTACAATAGCATCATTCCGCTTCTGCAGAAAATCTACTTCAAGTCTTTAAGCATTGGAGATATGCCCAATTTGCAATTACAAGGCATGAACCAAAAGCCAAGTAAGGGATGCAAATAAAATTGTGGCAGATGGAGCAGTTTTGAGACACCTTTCCAAGGGTTTAGTTTCAGAGCCCCCGTTGTCTGCCTGCAAAATCTGAACAAGGTGTTAACGATGAAGCTGTACAGGAATGAAAACACAGTGAATGGATGCTGATATAGAACACACCAATGAGAGGCGGCCATTAGCTGCACTTGAATTTGTTGTGTAAAGCCATTGTCCATTAGAAATACATAGAAATATGCTGAGAAACCGATGCAGCTGAAGCCCTGGAATCCTGTTTTGGACATGGCTTTTAACTAGCGACAAGCAGGCTAGGCCTGGGGCCTAGTGCTGCTGCACCTGCCTTCAGTTCAATCCCTTATTAGTGCCTGGCCTTCCACTGTGTTAAAATGTACTACTTTGCCACATTTTTATTATCTGATTGTAGAGTTACATCAGAAGCAATGTTACATGCCTACCAATTACATGAGAAGAATACACAGTTGTTTTTCTACTCCAAACTGTAAAAAACAAAAAATCTCACCTCCACCAGAAGCATCGGGGGCCAACTCAAAGTGAACCACAGTACTGGAACTTTCTCTACGTGTCCTTGATTTACTCTCCCCGGACGGCACCACTGAAAACCCCTTTTTGGCCATAGCACACTGCATCTCTGTTGCCGTGGTGATGATGTCGAAGGCAAAGCAAGCAAAGTTGGCTTGATTCAGGCACACTTCAGTGCACTCCTTCGAAGAGTCCACACTGACTGTGTCCTGAATGGACGAGCTGTCCAGGCGGATGTTATAGAAAGCATCAAAGACCAACTCCAGTTCATCTGCAGGCAAAGTTGACATTAATGAAGCTCAACCATCTACATTCTCCTTGTTTCTGTTATTTCACTGCTACTGTAAAATGGCTTGATTACTGGCAGTAAATGCTGGCAGCATCACAACAATATTTCAAAGAACAGGGCAAAGTTAAAAGTTCAGTAATGCAGTTTGTCGTGTATGACTGCACAAATGCACAAGTGCCTGTACATGCAAAACTATCATTTTAACAAAACAATGACAGCCGAAATTAAACATTTTATTTCCTTTATGTCTCATGAGTTTGAATATATTTATCAAAAATTTGTAAACCATTCACCAATGGAAACTGCATACATGTACAGCACATGGATGTCTACTGATGCTTTCTCATATAAGGAAGAGGTGACTAAGAAAGCTCAAGTGATGCACGGTGAGGAATTGGCAGCAGAGAAGGTCATGTCTCCTTCCCTTCTCCTGTACACATAGACAAATCCGGCCATTACAGTGACCCCAACAAATGCAGTGAGCATTGTAAATTTTGTAATAACTATGCCAAGCCACTCTTCCAAGACAGTCCCTCCAAAACCAAGCAAAATGTTTCAGCCTGCTTTCTGGGACTGAAGAGAAGCTACCAGGAAATGTCCAATCGAATATTCACTAAATTCGTCAGTAAGAGCCTGGTGACGGGGGAACCTTCTCCAGACTATATTTTTTGTGTGTTTTTACTGTATATTTTTCTGGACGGAGCATTCAGCTGTCTTTCTGCCAACCTTTTGTCATAACTTTGACAATTGATAATTGTTCTCATAGCATCCACACAAGAAAGATTGGCCCAAAAGAAAACTTTTGTTACAGACCGATTGAATGCCTGAACAGACTTGCACAAGTTCTGAATAAATAATGTGTTCCAATTCTAAAAATGAATTCAGAGTCAACAATCTTAGTCCAATACTAAAAATGTTTGGACTTAAAAAATTTGTTCCCATCTTTAGAAAATGTTGGATTTGTAAAATCTTCTTTGAATTTTGAAAAGATGTACATTCATTACAAATTTATTCCAATGTTAAACAAAAATTCTGACTACGAAAATTCACCCACTCTTTAAAAATTCATTCGAATCTAAAAAAGTGTATTGCATCTTTAAAATTTCATTCGGATTTTAAAAATGCATTCCAAACGTAAACAAATTTAAAATGACATTCGTTTTAAAAATAAATCCAACTTTTAAAAAACATGTACAATTTGAAAAAGGCATTATGTTGTGCAAAAACATGTTCCAACCTTTTCAAAACAAATTCTGGTTTGTAAGAGTGCCCCAAACAATCCTTATAGAGTTAAACAGTATCCAGAAAATACAAAAATATCTAACACAAAAGCGAAAAAGAAGCCAATATAAACCACATATGAAATAAGTTACTACTGTAACAGTGAATTACACATGGGACACCATTCAAGGACTAACAAATTTCAGGAAATGACATGACATGTCTTGGAAAATTTCCAAGTTCTTCTCAATTCTTGAGTTTCTTACCACAATATTCCTCATCGCTTCCGGAGGTGCAGTCTTTGATACCATTGCATTTGTACTCACGCGGGACACAATCTCCCGATTTGCACATATAGTAACTGTCAGAGCATCCCCTGTTCCCTGTAAATAATTTGAAAACAGAATACCATCAATACTTTGGGAGTTTCTCAGTAAAGAACAGATAAGTAGGATGTGACTTTGCTGAGAACCCCCTCCCATTCCATCAGACTAATGTCACATCATACAAGGATACTCCAACGACAAAAGGTCAAAAATAGAGTCATACAAGACTCTACCTTAATTCAAGACCTAATATAATCAGGGTTTTGGTGAATGTGTAACTTGACTTCATCAAGTCTTCCTTGAAAAAGTCCCCAGACAACCCTTCAGACTGAGAAAGTTCCACCTAGAAACAACCATATTCGTGCCACTCCTTTGGAATGCCTGACTTCTACACGGGACACATTTCTGGGTCTGCCTTGTAGACCTCTTAGACCTTTTAGACGTCATTTTCAGAAAAATGCGTGCGTGCATTAATGTTGAACACAGAAAATTTTAATATGGCAGGTTGTCGGGTGAGGAGGGGGACAAGAGATAGTAATTTCTCTCAGGCAACCCCTCCCTTAACCCCTTCTGCGGCTGTGGTACACTGTCTTTGAGCTGCAAGCAGCTGTCAAGCAATCTTCCGAGTCTGGGGAGGGCACTAACATGGGATGTGATACATTAGGCTTGAAAAACTAAATAGTGCAGTCTAAGTACACAGGAAGTCGTCTGACCATGTTTGTATTAACAGTTTGCTGGAAATATCTAAGCTGTCTGCAAAACAGGACTCTAAGTCCTGTCAAAACACAAGTCTCTTCTGAGCAATTCTGTCATGTTTTTGCATGTACTCTTATCAATCGTGTGACTGAACAAATTCATCTAATTTGAATAATAATTCTGCCTTGCTACTTTGAAATGAACTAAGAAAAGGACTTGTGAGGCACTGGTGTCTTTTTGAAGTCAAATCAAATTTGGCCAAGGGTGCTGCATTTCATAAATTAACATTTAAGAGGCCACAAGGAAAACCAACTAAAAGTCTTCCAAGAAATCCAACTTTCTGGTTTTGTACAGTCCAGCTTCATGTATTATCATGTTACATGTATTAAAGCTTTTAAGTATGTCCACTGTATGTACAAATTCACTCACTGGATCCTGAGTAGTAGGTGAGATTGAATCCCGGCTTCTGAGAAAAGATGTCTTGGCCATCTGATTTGAAAAGAATGAGCATTGCCCCCTCGGTACTAATTAGCACTTCAGGTGGATTATCTGAAGAGCAGCTGGACAACAGTTTGGACGAGTTGCTTGTGGTGCCATCATAAGCAGCACTGTAGTCGCCACTCGAGCAAATAGTCAAGTCATAGTAGATAACCCTGACGGCCACTTGGGCACCTTCAGGGGCCATCAGTAGGATGTGACAGTTCAGGAACTTCGGATAGCCGGCCGGGTACAGTGGAGAGGTGATGTACCCGGTGTCATTTTCACCGACCATGATTTTGTCATCACAAGTCCACTCTAAATAAACAAAAAAAGTGTATCAGGTCCACCTGCAAGTCCCAAAATACCTTTACTGCTGACTACTGTATCAGCAGGGGTCAAATGTGTTCTTCTCAAAACAAAAAACAAAAAACAATTTTTACGATCTCTCAGTTTCATTGTGCTCTTTTCACTCCAACTCATTTCCCTCAATCTGCTTCAACCATCAACAAGATCGCATTTCATTATGCAATGCACTAACCTGCTTCGAAAGTGCCTATAAACTGGTTCATCAGGACATTGTCAGAATGGAATTCCAACATGAAGGATGACCCTTTGACCTCGATGCTAATGTTCCCCTTCTGTAATTCATACAGGCAAAAGCGGACAGCAGAGGCCGACACCCCTTCACCCTCCATTCCATTGGCAGTGACAAAATTGAGGCAGTCTGTCATGCCCTCATCTTCATCGGTGACGATCCCAGCCATGATGATAGTGAGCATGTTGACCTTTCCATAAGGCTCGACAAGCACGGAGAAGATGCCACTTGTTGGGCCAGTGTAATTACCGCTGGAGAATTTGCTCGGTGAAACAAGGGTCCCACGGTATGCGCCAACTGTAGTATTGAAGTTTACATCTGGACAAAATTTTACAAAATGACTGAAAGTAAACCTCAATTATCTCCTCTTTTCAGCATATATAGATTTCCTCACAAGGCTGTGTAGAATGTGTTTCACTTCAAGTTTTCACTTCATGTCGGATGACAAAATTGTACCCTAATAAATCTGTGTGGAGTTGTGTTTGGTCCAGCATCTCCTGTGACAGTTTCAAGGAGGACTTATAAATGCACCATGGCAAATGCTTCAGTGGCTCTGTACTGGTTTTTGTACAGACATGGAGGTTTAACCGATTCCATGGAGATTGAGTGTGTGTGCAGGCTGCAGGTTTCCATGGGTAGGGCCTTCACTGGGTTAAGGGGACAATTTCTTTTGTGTCATGCAGGCAAATTAGGACCAAGTTGTGGGGACATTTGTATTTCTATATCTTCTCACCGTCACTACTGTACACAACAAACGGATCCAACTCAAAGTGCACCACTTCACTATCAGCCTCTCTTGGTTTTGCCAATCTCATCCCCATAGACGGCACCACAGAAAAACCCTTCCCAGCCATGGCGCACTGTATCTCGGCTTTGGTGGCAATGATGTCAAAGGCGTGGCAGGCAAACTCTTTCTGATTCAGACACATCTTGGGGCACTCCTCCAAGGATTTCACACTCACTGTCTCTTGAACAGATGAGTTGTCCAGGCGGACATCATAGAACGCGTCAAAGACCAGGAAAAGTGAATCTACACAAAAAAACAAAACTGAGGCTAGAATGCAACAATTCTCTCTCAGTTTTTCTTGAGTTAATGCACATTTTGTTGCAAAATAAAGATTGATTTTGGATCACAGCCCTTGCAATAACTGCCTACTTAACAGGGCTACCTGGCTCAAATTTGTATTTGCAGCAAGAAATTGTACGTCAGATAGATCCCTGCAAAGTACAGACACATTCTACAACTAGAAAGAGTCAGTGAAGTGCATACCTATAATACGGGCCATTCACAATAGTGTGCCTCCAAAAGTTTGCAATGCGTTGGCCAATTACAACGTACGAAATCTGTCCACTGTTTCCAAATGTGCATTGGGTCGACAGATTTCGCGCATCATGGTTGGCCAACGCATTGCAATATCTTGGAGGCACACTATATTGTGAATTGCCAGTGTTGTCCAACAATAGTGAAATGGTGGTCAAGTAACACGGCTTGGTACCCTCTTTCCTTTCACCACTTTTACCACTACTAGGAAAGAAGAGTACATAGGAAATTTTTTGCCATAATGCTAATGTCAAATAAATTACGAAGGCCACAAAGAAAATATACACGGCATAAAACCTGGTGCATATATTGTGCGCACAATTCCAGGTGTTTAAAGCATGTTATACATTCATTATTCTCCCCCTTGGATTTGCATGTATCTGTGTGAATTTCTGATTCCATTTTGATCTTGCAATTTCTTACCACAATATTCCTCATCGCTTCCGCTGGAACACTCAAAGAAACCGTTGCACTTTCGGTAACGATTGATACAGCCTCCTAACCTACACAAATACTCATCGCCAGAGCAGTTGCTTGTCTCTGCAAATGAAATAAAAACAGATCTGATTACTCTTAGAATCACGGATGCATAGTGGAAAGCCTAAAGTTTTCTAGTTCTGTCTCACGATAACTTGATGAAGAATTCAATTCATTGCCTTGTTAACCTCAACAAAGAATATGCCCCAAAAGAACTCAGCTGTCCCCCAACCAATAAGACATCCCTTATAATTAGATCTCTACAGCTTTACTTCGATTGGATATTGAAGTTTGTTTTTATGGTCATTTACCGGGGATGTGGTTGAAAACTTTTAAGACCAGAACATGACTGCACATCTGAAAAGATGCCCAAAATACCTTTCACAATACCAGCAAAATAAAATTGAAAAGACAGTTGATGGAAACACAGAGGGTGCATTTTCAGGGGTTGACATAAAATAATTGCAATGCATGACGGCAAAAAAGCCAATGTGACAGGATGACGTGGCTCAAGGAAGCTGGGAGTGTAGGCTACAGAATTACTTTTCACTGTCTAAACAACTGCAAGTCAAGTTCCTTTCTTTCTTACGTCTTGGCGGTTCCTCCCCTTCCAACGCCGGCTGTATCCAGTCCAGAAATGGGCTGACTCTAGTGTGCACCTCAGGATACCCTGAGGGATAACAGCTCATCCAATCGCTGCCGATCACTCCGACCACAGTCCATCCCAGTAAATTCTGCACCACCACTGGCCCTCCATTGTCATGCTAAATGATCAAAATAACAAAAATTATCAGACTGCAGGAAAACAACAAAAGCAATCAATACCAAAATTTGAAGTATACATGCATCTTCCACTTGACAAACATTTGCTGTGAATACCAACTCACACAGGAAAAATGTGCCAGAGGTGGCAAGTGGATTTACTGTGAACTTCTTATTAATACTGGAATTTTCTGTTGATGAATATTGCAGTTTGACCTAATTTTTGTCACACATCCCCAGCCCCCGTCACCAGCTTTGGGCATTAAGGGTGCCACAGTGCCACCTAGGGAGGGACATCACAAGAACAATAGAAGATTTTGATGCTTAGGGATCCAACTGCTCGCCGGGGGGGTGGGCTCCAGGTACCCCCTTGACGATGGTGTTACCACACCCACTGCCCCCCAAAAATAGGGAAAATAGCTAGTTGAAATCAACTCCAAATGGGACAAAAGTCACATGGTCTTAAAACTGCTTTATGGATCCTGCATGCACACCACCGAGGTGCAATTGTCAAATAATACTGCAACCATCAAGATAAGCTTGTTACTAACTTTGCACTTCACCTTTTCTCAGATATTTGACATCAGAAAGCTATGAAAACACCATTTCTAAGTGGTAGAGAGACTAAAATGAAGTTTCAGGATGACTCAAGAACACGGGAAGCAAGATTCCCTCTGTTTTGTCACTATTCCACAGGCAAGTCAACATCATCATGCATATATTGCTTATAAAACTGTACAGGCGTTTACTTTGAAATTTTTTTATGTTCTGGATACATACACATACACACCTCTACTATGGCTAACCCTGCAGCGGATTCCACGAAACGTGGCGTAATTCTGATCCATGTGAAGCTTTGCACCACAAATTTGTGCTGCAGCTGTGCAATATGCTCAAGTTTCATTTTACAAAATGTTCTGTAGCAATGGAACATTTTAATTGTATAAAATTTCTTGGACGAGGATGATAACAGCTTTTAAGACAGCTGTTCCTTTGCAATATTACAGCAGTCATCAATCAGTCATTGAATAACTTCCATCAACTGTTTTGAAAGAGATTTTATCTTTTCTTCAGCAAAACTAGACAAAAAAATCTCCCAGCCAAACCAGTTTGTTCTTACCTGCTACAATAAAGTTGGCAATATATTTCAGAAGCCTTGTTAAATTCAGCAATGATGAGCCTTAACCAAGCACGCTGAGTACGTCAGATTTGTTTGGTGCAACTTGAATCACCTAAACAGACTGCGTACATTTCGCCATAATTTGTTGTCCAACTCAAGGAATTATGTAGTGCATTAGTTTTATAAATTGCTCTGAATTTCTGCACAAAATATGCAATAAAATGTGGCAAAAGAGATGTTACCCCATTGTGTAAACTTTCGTGAAATTGGCTGCTGGAGGAGACATTACAGTTATGAACTAATTCTGCAAAAATAAGAACCTCTTTCAGACTAGCCATTATTTGAGGACATAAAAATGCAGGGTCATGCACAATATTCTGCAGTGTTATAAAAAACATACAAAGTCCTCATATGGCTATCAGTGATGACTAGGATTCAAAAATTCATCAGCTGTACCTCACATGCACCCTGTAGGTTGAAGGGAGGGCCAAACACACACATAACAGTGTCAGTGATTTCATAGCCCAGTTCGGCCCACTTTGAAGCACAGTAGTCCTGGTTCACAGTGCGCATCTCCACTTCAAGCAGGTAGTCACTAAATTCCCCTGCAGCAAACAATGAACAAAGGCATACACAGAAAGTACACATTACAAATAAGGTCTGGATACATAATACACATTCTCATTATTTTATGCTTTTAGAAACTTTTACTCAGATTTTTATGTCAAATGTTCTGAACCAATTATCATTGCAGTTTTGCATATGATGCAGGATGTTAGAAAAAGAAATAAATTCTATTTTTTATAGGGTAATTATTACGACTAGTGCTAATAATTTCACCAATGAAAATGACGATGTCATGAAATTGGGATGTTTACATTTTTCATAATCCCTAGGATGCATGTAAAATAATATTAAACTCAGAGGATTTGGGACTGTTGGGGCTATCTTAATCTCTACAATTTAAATGACTGAGGAATAAAATAACATTTGACTGCAAAAGTATCATCATCAGAAATTTTCTCCTTATCCATTATCAATAACTCCCTCTGACCTAGCAAATCAGAGGTCCATATCAAAAAGCTCCACCTAAATGTTTTGCTTTCTATAACTCTTGGCTTGTTTCTTTCTAAATCAAGCCTAGACTAGGGCGGCATTCTTGTCCAAACAAATCAGAAATCTAAGTGTTAACTGAGGATAGAACCCTTACCAAATGGTTGGTACCTCCCCCAACCTGTGACAGTCACACCAGTGTTGTTGGGGAGCTCTAGTGCCGAGTCTCTCGGCAGGCACACGGTCCGGACAAACTGTGTGATATTGAAGGGGGATTCCAGCTTGATTAAGGCGATGTCATACTTGTAATCAAAGCTGACAATTTTGTGGTCAGGGTGCATGTACACTTCTGCAGCCCTCCGCATCTGCATGCTTTCTGAGGGGTCTTTGAGGCTGTTGCTTCCCATGCTGAAGTGGTACAACTCTGGGTATTTGATAGCACTTCCCCTGGCAGGGATAGAAAAAATTAGAGCTAGAAATGAGAAACACTGGCACTGCATGGAAATTCTGACATGACATATTTTTTGACGCACTTGGTGGTTCACAATACTTTGTCCACACAAGTTTTGTGCTCTTTCTATTTATACAAGATACCTTTCTGAATATGCTGATAATGGCAAAACAATCTGAGGGCCAAACAACCATAAATGAACCAGGTGTCTTTGGACCTTCTCCAGCTGTGTAGGGTGGGGCAAGAGGAGAGCCTCCACTAAAGACATTGACGGTTCCATGAGCAGCTGTTCGAGACAAAGACATCCAGTGGTAGTGCATTTGTGAAGTTGGACCATTGGAATGATTCCCGATGGGCACACAAACCATTCCAGGCGAACAATCCAATGGAATGGTCCAATGCAACTTGAAAGTTCCAACTTTTGAGAAGCTCCCTTAGAGTAAACTTGTAAACGGATCCTTGTCGGCATATTCATTTTAATCAAAAAGCACCACAAACTGTATTCAGACTGCACTGAAGAATATTTAAGTAGCCTAACAAGGCCAGGGCTCTACTGAAGTTGTTGAGCAAGGTACGCAAAACCTTATGTGATACTGGGAGCACATTTCAAATGGCGAGCATCCTAAATGCAATTCCTATTGAGTGCAACATCCATTTTTGATTGAATTTAATACCTGGAAAGAAAAGAACATACATACAAATTATTTCAAAACAAAATTTTGATGACCAAAATTATCAACAAAATCTGACTTGCTGAACTCCTGACATGTCGCTGTAGCTGGATGAAGAAAAAAGACGAGGCAGCCTATCTGTGCTAGGTACAGACATATTCCTATGACTGAAGTGTTAGGTTAACTGTTTGAAAGTGTATGAGTACTTACAGGCAAGTGGCTGAAGTGAGAATCCACTGGGGATGGATGAGAGAGCCTCCACATATCCAAATGCCTCTGAAAAACATCGCAGCCTGCCATGGCCACTCACCCTCTTGTGCTGGCTTACCGCCGACAATTTGCATCTCTCCATCCAATGGGGCAGTTTGCAAGCCACATATTTCTACAGTGATATGAGATATCTCAATTTGTTTCAGAATGCTTTCAATCTCTGTGGAAATTTCCCATTAACCAAATTTGTATTTAGAATTCAAGTACGGTAAAAAGTTGATCATCAATAAATGAATTTTCATTAAAACTATACACAAGATTAGTTTAAATATGCAATTACCAGATTTTTAAGTGGTCATCAAAGAAAGTGGTTAAACCACAAATTGTTTTCAGTCAAGATATTACTGAGGACCAACCCTCTTCCACTGTCAAAAGTAAAAACAAATTCATATAGTTTGACCGTGCCAAATATCGGGGAAAAGGTATTTTAATTTCAACCTCATTTCTTAACACTTTCTTCCCCATTCAGCTGGAAATCGCAACATGCCACAATTCAACTGACCTTGACTGGACTTCGTGTAGTATGTCACATTAAACCCTGGTTTGACAGAAGGTACGACTTTGCCATCTGTATGGAACACTATCAGCAGTGCCCCTTTGGAGCTGATCAGCTTTTGGGGTGGCTCGGAAACATCACTGGAGCAGCTGATGAGAGGCTTGGGTGATGGGTTTGGTCCGTCGTAAACAGCGATGTAATCTCCACTCAAGCATATATTTAAGTCAAAGTAGACCAACTCTAGAATCACCTGGGCACCTTCAGGGGCCATTAGAAGGGTGTGGCAAACCAGAAACATTGGATAGACGTCTGGGTACAATGGAGACGTAATGTACCCCGTGTCACCTTCATCAAGCACGAGTGTGTCACTACAGTTCCACGCTATCAAGACACAAGAATGTTCAAACATCCTCCATTAAAAAACTTTAATGTGTACGACAGATTGTTTACATCTCTTATATGAAAATGCTGACAGAAATCTATTGCACTGATTTCTTTCAACATCGAACGACGAGTATTGCTTGTGACAGAACTTAGTATGTGTTCCAGTGTCACAGTTGAGGCAGTGAAAAGTCTCCGCACGACATAAGTCATTTAGTTTGAAGTCAGCCCACCAGTTAGTGAAATAAAGTGTGACCAAGGCATCCTGTTGAATCTGTGTTTATCTCTTCAGGTCAGTTCTGACCTATTACTTGTAAGGTGACTTTTAAAACAATTTAATAGTGTCTGACTTGATTCCAACTCAGATATTCTTTTCTGACATGGCTGGGACGTCAACCAACAGTGTACTAAAACATTTTTTAAATTAAACCCCCAACTTAAGCGATCGATTGCTAGCTGTTGGTACTAGTGCATACAGCTGAATATTCTCCTAAAGATGCATTTCTTTATTATCAACAGATCACAGACATGTTACAATGAGCTATTGGCTTAACTGTCACATGAAGTCACGAACGTGAATGCTCTCCCACTTTTTTGTAAGATACTTGCAATCTTTATAGCATCCAAGTAAAAGTGCAAGAAAAGTCACCAACTTTCATGACAGTTGGCTGTAACAGTATTAAAAACCATGATGCACATGCCCTCAGAGGGAAGATTTTTATGTGCTGTGTGTCGTAACTGGTTCTTTCCTTTGATTCATCTCTGATCTAAATTGTCGTTAAAGTGATTCAAAAGATATGTCACTCAGATTTTTTTCTAAAACTTTACTAGCAAGTAGACAAGGGAAAATGTTGCTGGCCTTTCTAAAATGTGTTGAAATTTACTGGGGCAGTTTTGGGCAATAAAATAGACAAAATGGAACCGGGTATGCATAATCAATGGTCGGGTAGCAGGTACCCATGGTCCTCGGCATGGCTCAATTCAAAACGTCACTTACCTCGGTTAGGCTCGGTGCTGTAAGTGAGTTTAAAACCTGGGTTGGATGAGGGTGTGGTGTAGCCATCCGACCTGAATATAATCAGCAGAAATCCCTTGGAGCTGGACAGCATTTCGGGTGGGTCAAAGTTGCAGCTTGCTAAAACTGGAGCAGACTCATTGGTTCCATCAAACACAGTTATGCTGTCTTGACTCAAACATATATTCAAGTCAAAGTGGATCAACTCCAGAATCACTTGGGCACCTTCTGGAGCCATCAGTACGGTGCGACAATCCACAAATAACGGATACGCATTTGGATACAGCGGGGATGTCACGGATCCGACAGTGTCACCGCCAATCATGATCTTTTCATCACACTTCCATTCTGTGACAGACACATTGATATGATAATTTTGGGGTCTAAAAATGTTGTCAATTAATGGTAAAATACATGTTTTTCCCAAGCATATCATCTGTAACCCTGGCATTACTTGGTGATTAACTGGCAAATGACCCACTGGTGAAATACTGATGAATTTTACATCAAATAATAATTTTCTTAATTTCACAAAATTCCATCCACTTCTGCAAGTCAAAAATTTCCAGCACATAGATATATTACCAGTTTGAGCTTTACATGATACTTCATGCATGGACCTGACCTTGGTTTTTGTTAATTTTTTTTTAACATGCTCTTTAAACTTGTGCCAATAATTTGAAAAGAACTACCTGCTTTGTAGGCAGCCACAAACTGATTTGTTGAGACATTGGCAGAGTGGAATTCCATGTTGAATGACCAGCCTTTGATTTCTACCGTGCCATTCTCCTTTAAGGCATACAAGCAGATTTGTTTCTGGGTAGCTGGGACGCCATCTGTCTCCGTCCCATTGAGAACAACAAAATTTTGGCACAAGTTCCCTGCACTCTCATCCTCATCCGTCACTACGCCAGCAAAGGTGAAGGTGATCATGTTTGCCCCTCCAGATGGTGAAACAAAACGTGGGAATATACCGCTGTCTGGACCCTCATATTCGTCGTTAAATTTCAACGGTGTCGTCAGAAATCCGGCATGTTTACTTTCTTCAAAACTACCACCCTCTGTGATCAGAATCAATGGAAACAGGAGATGAGTTTAGCTTAATAATACACAAATGCACATAAAGATCATTACAGTGCTAGCTGATGAGTTTCATACAACCCTTTGCTGTAAAAACAGCTGTATAGCAATTGCAGTTCTTGGGTCACTTGGCCAGGATGGATGACTGTGCCCCAGCCAAACAGATTCTCCAAGATGCCCTTAATGACCTTCTCTGGCTGGAAGGAACCAAGAGGGCTACCTCAGGTGACTTCAGTGACACAAGTGAGCACCTAGCGACCCTTATCTCATCAACGCAGGATAGACTTAGATTCCGCAGTTCAGTTACTACAGTTATTTAGTGGAAAAGCCCCTCTTTGCTGTTTGTTTTTGTTTGCTACAAAGCTGTGATAGTCTGTTTAAAAAATATCAAGATGCTCAAGGGCCATAGGCAAAGGCTGGGAGCCAATAAAATCTGATTAGTCAAGCCAGTTGTGAAGTGCAAAATTTTCACAAGAAAGTATTATTTGACATGTACATGTACACCAACACCACCAAGGAGGACCCTATCAGCAAAACTTTCCAATCATTCCTAATGGAATGATTGGAAAGCGCCACATGGGGTATGCCTCAATCAGAGGATAAGTGTGACATGCCTTGGAGGAACATAGCACATTTTGCAATGGCAAATATTATAAGTATGCATGTGGCAACATGTCCTATATAACAGGCTACGGCTGTGGATGGCAGACAAGTTCAGTGTAGTGTTCATGTTCTCCACCTACTGAAGACTGATAATTTCCACTGCTTACCTGCATTCAGGCCTCGACCTTAGCAACAGATCAGCATATAAATTCTAGTGAAAACTGCTGTGGGTTGGTAAAATGCATTCTTTATTCTTGATATTACAGTATTTGTAATTCGTACACCTGTGTGAAGACTACATCATGCTGATTACCTATTGCAAAAAGGATCACAAGAAAGAGGAAGAAAATACCAATTTTATCTTTCACTATCATTTTTAATTATAAGGGAAAACTTACTAGCACTTGGGTCCAATCTGTGGTGTGTTTGCTGTCCACTCTGATCTGGCACCACAGAGTAGCCATCCCCGGCAATCAGGCACATCATTCCTTGCATGCTAAAATCGAATGCAATGCAACGGAACTCTTCCTTATTAAGACAGATGCGTGCACACTCCTCAGGTGACATTGCGGATACACTTTCCCGGATGGATGTGTCATTCAGGCGAATATCTTTGAAGCTGTCGAAGAAGATCATTATACCCCCTGCAAGCACAAATAAAAAAATAACCGCTTGCTGTCAGTTTATGCATAATACATTAACCCGAACCTTTTTCAATCATTCAAAATACATTGCATGGCAAAATTGCAGTGCTGTTTGCGAAGGATGCAATGTTTCAACCTTCTGAGTTAGACCTTATGTCGTTTATGTTCATCCAAGCATAAATTCATGTCTACATTAAACGTGAAATCCTCCATACTGCTTCAGAATATCATTCACACTGCCTTGATATAATGAGAGGAATTGCCGAAGGATTTTGGAGAACTAAGGCATTAGGAACCCCTCTACAGAACAAAATTATACAAAAAATATCGGACGATGGACTGAGGCAGTATCCAATTTTTTTCGTGGTGGCTGTTGGATGAATTTGAAGGATTGAGAGTGTATCCTAGCCAAAAGGACCTACATGTAGGCCGTAAGGGTTATTGTGAAAAAAAGACAAGGTTAACTTGTGGTCAATCATCTACCACCTCTACTTAGGCTAAAGAAAAATGGTTTGTCACAACCACTTCCTTTTCTCCTCTCCTTTTAGTTTTCATTTCTTCATTGCATGCACATTTTTTATTCAAAATGTATGGTCATAAATAAAATTTTGAACAAGTTTGTTTGATGGGGTGAAAGCTACTTTTTAAAATAAAAAATCAGTATGAATAAAAACGTGAGCCACAGGATTCATAGGTTGCACATAGACTGGATACAATTTTGTCGGTCTGATTCTCGCAAAGTACTGAGAGTATGTGACTTTTTTATTTACTAAAATTCATGTATATTTCAATTACAGTTTGGAAAACATTAGTACGATTGTGGAAATTAGGTGGAATAATAGCAATCTTTCTCTTTCCTTCAGATTTCATAAGTAAATATTCAGTGGGTATACCAATATTTGACAAGTACTTGAGCATGTTGGTTGAGCTTACCACAATTCCTCTCGTCACTTGCGGAAGCACAATCATATCGGCCATCACATTTGACCTCTCGCTCAAGGCAGGCTCCACGTTCACACCGATATTTGTTGCCTGGACAAAACTGGTATACAGGTACTGTATGGAAGAAATCAAAGACACATTGTTATCAGCTGCGGAGCATACATGTACTACATGGGCCATGTTTCTAAGCCAGAGCAGGTTATTTTTATGTAGATTGTCTATACGAACCTTTCAGAGTACCTTCTCATAATGACGACTCTAGGACAAAAAATGTGTCCGTACAATAAAAATGCACAGTTGTAAAGGGTACTTCATGTACATGTACATGAATACAGTTGGTTGGCGATCAACTAGCTCACTAATACATAATATGAAAAAACTACTTTCAAGGGGTGCAGCAACACAAAGGCTTTTTTTCAGCGGAAACCCCTCAAACTCTCTTTTGTGTCTCAGTGAACGTAATGTTTGTTTCACTTGTTTTGAATGGGCATTTTGCTGTCTGATTCTTATGCTGAGGACTAAACTGTGATGTCATCCCTGAAAGGAAACCTCAATGTTACACTGGTTTAAGCACCGAAAATTCCTGTGTTTTTAAGACTCTGCTAGCCGAAATTGTCTTTTCTGTTAATGAATCACTATTAAGTACACTAAGCATTCAAACAACCCTTTCTCAGAAATGTTTTCAGTCATAAACATTCTTGATTTACAATGTGAACAGAAAACCCTGAGCTCTGAACTTGTTTATGTCTTCCCTAGATGATGACATCACGGTAACAAGGCCATCAGTTGTCAAAAAAGTGTCGATAATACATGTCTAAAAATGTACATTTTTCAATGCATTTAATTCAATAAAGATATTGACCAGTTTTTATTCATACACTACGGAAGAGTAGAAGTTGCAAACAAAATTTCAAATTGTTCAATTACAATGCCACTTCTTTATTCATTACTAGAAGAAAATGCTTGTGTTAATTGATCTCCTGTACATCTTACAGCTATCAGGTTCTCCGTCTTCAAAAATAGGCTGGATCCAATCTAAGTAAGAGGTGACTCTGGCGTAAACATTTGGACGGTACTCGGTTGTGCAGGTTGGTTCCCCATAATTAGTTACTCCAAGTAGTGTCCACTGCTCGCCTGTCTGAAGAACCAATGGCCCTCCGCTGTCCCCCTGTCATTGATGAGAAACCAAAACTGGGTCATTTTCTACGACTGAGAACACATTACAATCAATTGTTCCAGAACAACAACGAATCCATAATCATTGAATTTCACGCTTTCATTTGGACACTTCATGCCTCCTTTGGGCTTGTAGTGACCAGAAGGGGGTCCTGTATCCGGTAATTAATGGACAAGGGAAAATGTCTCTAAGGGTGCCTTCGCGTGGTTATTCCTATTAAAGGGCCATCAATAAAGTACATGTACATATGCACAAAATGCCGACTTTCCAGACCCCTGTCCCCTGTATGTATGGAGAACACAGTGGCTCCAACCCCACTCCTTGCCTCTATGCATACGCATTCCACAATTCCGAAAGATGCTGTCTTTGTGTCATGAGTAATGTTGCTATTTACTGATAAAGGGCATTGGCATGGAAGGATAAATGGTGGGGTAGATGGCGGAGAATACTGTGTTTGAATTTTGACGCACAAAAACTGATTCTAGTAGTTATTTGTATGAGAAAGTGTATTGATATGATGAAGATTCCTCAAAAGCAAATTTTCGGTTTGCATACGGTACACACTGGCTTGAATCCATCCCCCTTCCCTCTCTGTAAGCATGATGTACGCAACAGCACCAACCCCCCTCCCTGCGAATGGTCTTTATAGACGGCCCCTGACATGAGTAAGATGCGTGCACATTAAACTCGTGTGCAGGAGTAATAGATCCCCTCTAATGTGAGTATACTGACTCACAGGTCATACTCCATCCAGCCATTTGAGCGCTCAGTAGTATACTCGTATTAACATGAGTAGCTCACTCAGCACACCCAATTAGTCTGTCAGGAGCATAGACATGAACTCGTAACCTCACTGAGAGCACAACTATGCCTATAAAATACATGTAAGTTAACTTTCCCTTAAATGTTTATTCATTTAATTATAAAAATTTCATTGACATTAAGGATGGATGGCTGATGTAAGCTCCCTGACGCACTGGAAGTTTAATGAACTAGTTCCTGAGGCACAGCAGTGGGTGCTAGTTTACCAACATTCAATTTTTAAGAATATAACAGAGGGAAAACGTTTACTGCATTGTAGATGTTCATGTAATTTGGGGAACAGCGATGGTCCTTACATAACAAGCACTTTCCCCAATATCCACACCAGGCAGTCCCACACAAATCATGTCATCTGTCACTACAAGGTTAGGTTGGCCGTATTCCAGCCACTGTGAGACGCAGGTTGTCTGGTTTACTAAAAACAACTCCACTTCCTGGAGATCATCCCCAGAGGGACCTGCAAGCAACGGAATAATAAGTTGTGTTATTAAGGATAATGTCTTCCAAAAACCTATGGCTAATCATAAAAAGGATGTTGGTTTGGGATCCATTCTCACACTCTGTTCTTGAGCTCATGCTGTAAATCGGTTTTGATTTTACTTGCTGGTTTTTGTCGACACTTTTGATGGAATCGAATGATGTTTGTAACTGCCGACTTTGGGACCCTGTATTTTGTCAGACATGTTTTTCCAATCAATTTCTTTTTTGGAATTAACACTTTTGCTGGACACACTAGGGTCCTGTGCAGGGTCACGCTGTCAAAAGGTAGAGCCCTTGTACTATAAATAGAGCCCTTGTACTATAAATAGAGCAAAAAAGAAATTTTACTTTTGGGTTTGGAACATCTGAACTCTCTTACCAATCAGATTCATCATTCCCCATCCAGTTATTGTGACTTCCGTACTGTCTGGAAAATCGATCATGTCTTTCTGGGGCAAGCACACGGTTCTGACATAGTCAGTGATATTAAAGGGGGTCTCCAGTTTGAAAAGTGCAATATCATAGGCTGGTCGATATTTCACTACCGGTAGGTTGATGTCATACTCAGGGTGTATGTACATGGCCACTGCCCTACGTTGTTGCATGTTTTCTGATGGGCTGGCTAACTTGGTGACTCCCATTCTGAATTCGAACCATTCAGGATGCGCTGTGGCGGTCGAACTTGAAAAAGAAAAACAACAACAAAAACAACAGACAGAAAAGAAAATAAAGAAAAAAAATCAAAAGTCAAACCTGGGGTTTCATAATGATTTTGACAAGAAAAATTGGATGACATTATCGAGCAAGCACAAAAACTTGTGAATACAAGGCTTCATTTTAGAGGGGTGCGATTGCGCTCGCACTCCTCCACGCTCCCCAATTTTTTCCAAGGAGAGCAAAAAAAAGCGCTCCTTAAAAATTTAAGGAGTGCATTTTTTTTTTAAACCAGCAAATGTTGATTTATGACAAGCCCCTTGAATCTCGTTGGGTCGATAGCAGCAAACGAGTCCAAAGATTGAATGTATTAAAACACAAGGGCTGGTGATCGAAGTCTTTGAGCTGTGCGCACATGCTTGATGAATCCCGCATCGCAACACACAAACGTGATTGCGCATGTGGGTAGGCCTAGTGCGTGTGGGCGAGCCTATGGAATTTTATGGATGCACGTGGTCGTGCCCGGCCAAACTCTCTCACAGAAT